CAGACATCCAAAGCATACATGGTCAAGTGTGTAACATAAGCACAAAAATGATTACTACCTGGGTTAGGTCCAATGCTATATATTAAGAGAAGGTTGGAATTCATGTTTAATCTGTTATTTTATACGATCTATTTATTTGCGTAATTACCCCTTTGGCAACTGGGCTATAGAAATATGGTCTTTCGACTGACAGTAAAACCATTGCCAAATTGAGGAGAACCCTTGCAACAACTCTTTGAGGGGTCAGTAGGTGGCCTGTTGCAAGGCTAAGGTTCTGTCCCTATCCAATATACCCTAATTTTCCAGTGTCAGTCCAAATTTTCCGCCCTTCATTCAGAGGTTTGCTGCTTACAAGGAAACTATTAAATCAAGAGTTCGAAGTGGTGAAGTTGAAATCATCCCTTAGAAAATTTAACGGACGCGATCACGAATTGCTATCTGTTTCACAAATAACGATGGATATGTTCAAACTGTAGTTATCACAATTACCTCCTCTTAACCTCTAATATGACATACCGAATTCGACTTATCACAGGGTTTGTACTTACATGAGCAACTCGAAGGGTGCCACATGTGGAGCGGGATCTGCTCACCCTTCCAGAGCACCTAAGATAATCCCTTGTTTTGTTTAATAGGGGTTCGTGTTGTTCTTGCTTTAGTTTTAAGCGTTGTTCTTTGTGCTTTTTAATTTTTTGATGTATGTGTTGTTTTTACCTGTAATAGTCTTGTCTATCCTTTGTCATGAAGTATCTTTGAATTTCAAAATGTCAAACTCGATCAGGTTTCAGGTTTAGAAAATTTATATGACCGATGGTTTATGAATTTGTTAATTAGGGTTAGATAAGAGTCAATTACCAATCCGCTATTTTGAGATGCCTTATAACTTGATATAGCTTATCAACGTATTTCATCGGGTGTCACATGCAGAGCAGGATCTGCTTACCATTCCGGAGCACATGAGATCACCCCCGGTTTTTTGTGGGGTTCATGTTACTCAGTCATTGTTTTTCTATGTTGTGTTTTGTATACTGTTGTTTGTCTTTTGATCGGTTTTTGTTTATGACATGATATTGTCGGTTTGTTTTCGACTAATCTGTTTGGTATCTTTCACTTCTTTTTATCGTCCCGGGCGATCCCTATAACAGGACCTACCTATTGTATTTATTGTTAATTTGTTCTTGTCCTGAACATACATGAAATATTTGATTCTGAACGTAAAGCTAACAATAATCAATCAATCAATCAATCAATCAATCAATCAATCTTTGGGAAATAATTACTTCGGTTCTGTTGTCGGAACCGTGATTTATAATTGATGTTTCTTTTTCGTTTTGCTTTCATCAGATAAAGGATTTAAAAATTGTGCTCTGCATTTCATTATTTATTTATCATATAAAATGCTCTCGTACATGCACTAGCAAATACATAACATTAGTATGAATATACTAGTAATAGATTTGTGTCGTTATTTTAAATGAATAAAACATAATGTCAATGCATAATTTGTCTTAAATGAGTAACTATAAATCAGCGTCAGTCTATTTGTCAAATAAAACTATAATTCCACGAGAACAGACGTAAGTAAATAAATAACTAGTGATTGGTTGTTGGTTGCTTACCGTCCAGTGGCAAATATTTCATGCATGCTCAGGACGATAAAAATAAGAACAATTAATTATCCAGAATGCATCCCGTCATGCTTGTAAACCGCACCAACTATCCGTGATATCTTGAAAAGTCTGATTGCATGTTAAAAAAAACTTCTGTATTCCCATTTTGTTTTTCTGATTTTTATATAAGAACTCGACGATGTGTTACGTTTTAAATTGACCGACCTATATTAGAAACAATCTTTTCCGTACATGAAAAGTTTTCAGGCGAAGCGATTTTCATTTGTAAAGGATTGTTTCCTCAATTTACACCAGTTTGTTTTTATTTGAAAGTAATTCCATCAACCTTGAAAAATTTTCCGAAGAGGATTCCGAACAATTACCCGGGAAATTAAAGGCGCATTACCTGCCAGATTTAAATATATACCAAAATCCTAAATCTCAAATTTCACGGGTAGTAACCTCGTCATATCGAAAAGCGTTTAGTACAGTGATTTTGTCATAGTTTGGTTAAGATGAACATGGTTGTGTTAAGTGTTTTTGTTGACAAACAGTTTCAAAATATAAACATTCGAATAGTTTGTTAAAGGAACTAATGACAACAAATTCAAGCTGGTAAGTATCTTTGTTTATAGGTAATATGTTATCACATCAAAATTTGTATCATATAGTTATCAATTTGACACAGAATATGCTTGCGTATGTCAAAATTTAAAAGTTGTGATTCGTTTCTCATGCACAAAGAAAAGTGGTTTGCTTACTGTCTGCTTCATCACATATTTTGTTATGATATAAAACTGCCGTCAATTTTCCCGAAAAACAGCCCCTAGTGCACACAATTTGAGATTACAGAATATTCGGTGTCATGGTTTGGTTCATTCGTGTCATGGTTTATTTCATGTTGAACATGGTTCAGTTATGTGATTCTATTCGTGAATGAAGGAAGAGTAACGATCAAAATAAACAGACATTATATATATTGAAATACTCTTTTTTAAATCGTTTAATTTGGAATACAAAAGACATATATACGCACATTAAATGTAGTATTAAATATATTATTAAGTACATGCGGTCTGATATCTGATGAGATAACTATCCACCCGAGACCAAAATGACGTAGATGTAAGCAACTATATGTCGTCGTACGGCCTTCAACAATGAACAAAATCCATACCTTTTAGCCAGCTATAAAAGGCTCCGACAAAATTATATGTATAAACAATTTAAATGAGAAAACCAATGTATTATACAATATTACAAAAACATAATCATTTTTATTCGTTCGTAATAATAATTGATAAAAGTGGACATTAAATCGGCTTCATTCTAATTCGGAATTGTGATTTTTCATATATTTGAATTCTGAACTTGTTTGTATTTTTTTTTTTTTTTTTTATGTTTACTAATAGTTTGTAAAACAAATAAGTTTTAACTGTTGTCCACGTCACGCGTTAACTATTTGTTTCGTGGATGGTTGAAGACTTATTGTGTCTTCTTGATATCGTTTGGTTAGTTTTGTAGTTGGGATACTATAGCATGGGCGTATAACCCCACGTCTCCTTTTGTTATTTATAAAACAACAGATATATAGTTTAGTAGAAAAAAAAAGAAGAACAACAATTACTTTTTGACAAGCTGATACGTTTTGCAACTTTACAAATTGAACAAGTGATGCCGCTCACGATATCATCGACAGAGTCAATCATGGACAAATAATCTATGTGAAACAGAAGCAGCGCTTTCTGTTTTTTGTAATTATTATCTCAAAAGATAGTTTAAAAGAGCAGAGACTATTTAAATTATAAAAGCAAAATAACAAAAATACGGGACTTCGAGGTAAATTCTAAACGGAAAGTCCCTAATCAAATGGCAAAATCAAAAACTGAAACACATCAAACGAACGGATAACAATTGTCATATTCCTGACTTGGTACAGACATTTTTTTCTGTAGAAAATGGTGGATTAAACCTGGTTTTATAGCCAGCTTCACCTCTCATATGTATGACAGTCGCATAAAATTCCATTATATTGACGACGATGTGTGAACAAAACAAACAGACATAATAGTTAAAAATGTAAAAAAATAAAGGTACAGCAGGCAACATTGTGTTATAATCTTATTCACTATAAAAACAAAACAAATATTTCAACAAAGAAAAACAAAAAGGCATATAGACAAAGCACATAAGCAAAAACGAAAGACAAGAATACTAAAATTTACCATAGCACAATAACACAATGACGGGATGTATAAGTACCGAGCCACGTCAAATGGATTGGGCCAAAAATAGACTAAACAGTTAAAGTAATAATTTACAAAGACAAAAAAAAAAGAGTACCATAACACGTCATTAAGATGACAAACAACGTCAGTTCTTAGAATCTATACTTAAAGACCATCGTTTATTATTTGTGAAGTTGAAAAGGAATATTTACCCACAAGGTCTTCCGATGAACTTTTTTGGAAAAAGGACGAGACGTTCTTTGACATACCACTGGCTCATCAACTTTCTGCTCAGACACTGGTGACGGTTTACAAAGTCTGAGTAGCATCTGCAAACTCTTGAATATCGAATGAGTTGGGAAATGTATATCCCATATGCAGGAGAAGTTGGTATATTGCTACTAAGGTTGGCGAAACTGATAATTTCAAAATTAAAATCGTCTTGTTTGTCATAAATTCTGGTACTGAGATGACCGCGTTTGTCAAATTTGAGGTTTAAGTCTAAAAATGAGGCAGAGGAAGCCGTGTCTGTTGTTTCATTAATTTCTAGTTCTGAGGGATATATTAATGGAATTCAATCAGAAAAGTCTGGATTGTTAATGGAAAGAACAATATATATGAATGTGAAATTAAATGATATGGCTTCTTTGATCTTCTTGTTTTTTACAAATGTCTGAAGGAACTCCGACTAAATGAAGATAAGTAGACGCCGCTGCCGCACAGTTCGCTCTCATAGAAATACCGATAATTTGGTGACAAAGTCTACCTCCAAATTCAACAAATATGTTGTCAATAAGAAACTCCAGCATACTGGTCACTTGTTCCTCTGTGTAGCATGTTTTAGTTTTTTGTTCACTATTAACAACATATGCCGTATGGTATCCAAAAGTAATAAACGTATAGCTTGCGCTACCATTTTTATGTTGAAAAGCATTGTAGATTTAAATTATTTCTTTTAGACGATTTTTCAATTACACATAGGGAATGGTGGTACACAGGGTTGAAAAATTAAACGTTTTGATAGAACTAATTTCAGAGAAAGATCGAGATTTACATTTATTCAGAAGTTCTTTAAGAGTTTTTTTTTAAATCCATATATGGTTAATACCACTACGCGAGTAAACAGTTACACGGTATTTCTGAAAACCCTCTTTCATTGCAGAAAGAATCTTTGTCAATCTAATGGACAATTCTTTCGTCGAACATGCAGATGAGCTGGCAATGTACGGCTGTTTGTATGGAATTTTGTGAAGCTTAGGTATCCAATACAAACAAGGTAAGTCCTCCGATTTGCTGCTCAAAGTAATGTTCATTGAAGCTATTAAGGACTTATGAATCACCAAAATCTCATCCTTGTCAAATGATGTTTTTGTATGTGGGATTAAATGAGTGCTTATTTATTCCTAATTCTTTTACAAGACACTCGTAGTAGTACGGACAAGTCACGAGTAGTTAAATTGTTTAATGTACGTTTTGCCAATTACAGCATCTGATTTTGGTTTAAAAGGCTTTTTTTCTTTTTAGTCAGTTGGTAAATTGTATAACCTCGTTTAATTACAAGCGTGTTTAAACAAACTATCAATATTGAGCTGAAACAAATATATATTAATTTGGATCTAAACCATGACAAACTTGATCAAAACCATGACGAATTTCTAGACACTTAACCGAACCATGTCATAACTTAACCAAACCATAGCAATTTCGATAGTTTGCTTATTCTGCGTTAGTTTCTTGAAAACAACAATTCCAATGTAGATCGTTTGACTAACAATGCAAATTCAAACATCTTATTTGCTTTTTATTTGCTCGTTTGAATAGAACTGAGGCAACTGTTCGGGGAAGTAACTTAACACAACCATGTTCATCTTAACCAAACAATGACAAAATCACTGTACTAAACGCTTCTCGATATGACGAGGTTACTACCCGTGAATTTGATTTAATATATACTAAAATGTTAGCCAAAATTACAAAAGGTCCGTAGAAAACAGTACTTGATTCGTTGTAAAGTATCAACTCATAAACTATCGATATGACTCACGAAAACTGTCAATGGGCATGTGATCCCGTAATAACTATAAAAAAAAATAAACAGGTTAACATAAAATACAAATAAACAGCACGTGCAACAGTACAAGGTCGATGTTCTAATTTCTGTTGGATCTCATTTCTTAGATAAAAACATATAACCTGTATCAGACTGATTTTTTTGCTGGTCGAAATCGATCTTCCTGCTGTCGCTTTCCCTAATTTCACCGTTTCAGCTGACAATCAAATATTATTTGAAAAGTACGTTTTTATAAATGCTCGAAACAGAAACAAAATCCCCAATTGATTTTTTTTTTTTGTCTTAATATCGTAGATAATTCCCTTTTAAAATGCTTCTAAAATATTTTCGGATTACATCAACACAATTCGTCAAATGTGGGTTAATACTATATGTAGGTTTAATTTAATAATATTTTATTGCATTAATCAAGCAATAACAACTTATATTAAGTCCTCTCCTTACATATACAATCTCTGAGTATACAATACACATATATGATGACAGCAAACACATACATGATATAGCGACAGTTATATGTAGGTTTATTGACCCTCATGATTCTGCTTGACTTTTGTTTGTTGTTTGTATTGAGAGTTATGAGTGCTTCTAGGTTATAAATTCATAACTGTTTGAAGATACAGTCAGTTATATTTCTATGTTGTTATTGATAATACTGGGTAGCAATAAACCTGTCTGATGAACTCTTTGATATATACTACGCGGTGCATCCGCACCAAACTCAAATTAAATCATGTTCACCGATTTGACTCAAGTTCTCATATTGATTTATAACATACTAATACGTATATCCAAATTATAAGAAGTCTAGAATAAACAATTTACAATGCATGGGATCGATAATATGTGTCAGCATTTCGTGTGTAATTTAGTCTAGACGCCATCTAATTAACTATCGAGGTGACCTCCAAAGACTGCCGACGGTTATATAACCCGATATAATCATAAATACAGATATAAATAGATAGCGAACTCGTGCAATTGGATTTTTCTAGGTCTGTTTGATTTTATAATATAGGTTAAAGATATACGTTAATCATCGTTTTTACCTGTATGAGAATGACTTTTTGTCGATCGAATCAGTCATTCAAAAGGTTTATCTTTGTTTCACTTTCAATGTTGACATTCTTGTCCTTTTAATAACTGAACACGCCTAATTCATGCGTAACCCATCTCTAACTAAGGGGTTAAATTGAAGGTCACATGCATGTACGGATTCAATGAAGTCAAATTATTCACTTGCAAGTGAATAATTCATCAGCGATGTTTCTTAGCTTATTTTGACAAAATTGAACCAAACTGGCTGCTTAAAGCGAATTATTATTTCACTTTCATTAATGATTGAACCAAACAAATTATATTTTTTTTATATCTCGTAGCTAATGCCCCGTTAACGTTGAGAGAGTGGGTATGAGTTTTTAAATTCTGAATTATTTTTTCATACCATGCAAGCATTAAAATTTAATGTAAAAAAACTCTCAATAAGATTGTTTTACCCTTCTTCCTGATAAAAGAAGTTGGAAATGGGAATATTTCTAGACCCCCCCCCCCCCCGAGTTAATGGTCATTCCCAGATAAGGTTCTGAAAAACTACTTCCTGAAATGAAAAAAAACCTTCTTCTTAAATCTCAACACCCCCGCTAAATTAAATCTAGATCAGAGTGCTAACAAACGGCACATAAAACTTCAGTACAGCGTTATCACTCACTTATGCATGACTTGTCTTGGCCTATTTATAAATTACAGACAAACGTGTAGATGAAGAGAATGTATTCGTGAATAAGTTATGTCTCATTTTTTTATGGCTCATTTGTTAGGTACATTCTATGTAACCTACTAATAATAATAAGCTTTCTAAAGAACTTTAAAAAGATGACATGTTGTATAATAAGTAATGATCGTTTACACATTAATACTTACTACAGGATGCGAAGAGTCTTATGATTAATTGCACACATACATACATCATTTACGATTTATGGTTTTAAATTTGAATTATCCACATAACATTCGGGTCAAGCTTATTTTGAACTGATACAAGCAATATATCTTGAATTCATATTTTCAACATTTGTTTAGATCACAAAAGGGGGGGGGGGGGGGGGGGGGGGCATTGTATAATCATCTATGTAAAAATAAATCGAATCAATTTAAATAAGTTAATTGGTGTAAATTTCAATATAGGCATGATACCAGATGACGTTTACAAAAAACAAATACAAATACAAAGGTGGACAAAAACGAATATACAGAGAAATATTAAAAAAAGTAACTCAAGCTGAAAGAAAAAATAAGTAAGAACACTTCACTGAACAAACTGATCGGATGGCATGCATATATTATGTATATTGAGATTTCACCATGCTGGTATGCTAGTTTACTCTCATTCAACATAACCCAATAATTCTTATTAATCTATTACGAAATTACAATATCCATTAGATATTTATGCATACAAGACACTGTGCAAAGAACCATAACCCTTTGAAAACACTCTAACCATGCTAATCTACATTATATAACCATAGATTAGGTTGCAAGCTGGAAAGTGTTTTTTTTTCTTTTTGCGAAGGATTAATTCATTTATTATTTCATTTACGAACAGGCACTCGGGAAATTTACAAGCATAAAATCCTCCCATTTGCCATGCACCTTCCTACCATCCTATCTTTTATGTATCTTCTCGGCTTTCAAATAATCGGCTTTGAGCGTTCCTGAAGAAAGTAAATCCAGAAAAGCGCTTCGGACGCATGAAATTTATAGTGTTGTTTTCATTTTATACAGCACTTGATCGATACCGCTGCCTGTGGACCATCAGTCCCCATGGGTCTCATCAGCTCAGAAGTCAGTTCTTAGGTACTGACATGATTTGTAACAAACCTTTCTAAAATTGGTCCGTTGAACAATTTAGAAATTATAAAGAACCTAAGGTTTCAACTCCCTCAGGCAAAGTTGACCTTGGATGAATTTGGATATTATTTTATGTCCTTTTTGCAAAGACCAACTTTTTTCGGTTCTTGTATATCCTTGGCTTTCAAATATTCGGTTTTGAGCGTTCCCGATGAAAGTAAATCCAGAAAAGCCCTTCGGACGCATGAAATTTATAGTGTTGTCTTCATTATTTTTATGCTTACTCTCACTTTATCATCATGACAAGACATTTAGAGTAATTAGATAATGACTTTTTGTCCATCACTCTAATAATATATAAATATACGAACCTCTTTGGAGGTATTTACTTCTTGAAGGACAAGCTACAACTTATGGTTTATTGCTTTTGCTATAAATTGACGTAAATACATTATTAGCTCATGTGAGCATTGCTTATCACGTGTCCCCGTCCCCTATCTTTCGTCATATGGTGTCTGTCGCCCGTCATTTGACTTTGTCGTTCGTTGATATCTACATGTATCTTTTTTTAAATCACCTCTTAACACCGCAATGGTCAATAAGATCAATCAAAAGTCAAATAATAAATCCAGAAAAGTTCTTTAGAGGTTCGGTTATTGCTGCAAAAAAATTATAATTCATACATCGTTAACCACTGAAGAATCACATTTAATGAACTCAAAAACTACAAAACATGGTTTCAACCCAATTTGATAACTAGATATGAATGATGCCCCCTTTGCTCTGTCATATGCATGAGTATAGTTCCACATACTTTAGATTTGACAACCAGTGATGCTGAAGTACAACTTGAAATTTGCGCTGTCTGTAAGACACATATTATGCCCCGCCTGACCACAAGAAATTATAAATTTAACGCTATGTGTATCCTGAAGGCAGGATAGGCACCTTTCAGTCGACAAAGTTCAACTTTCCAGTTTTAGTAGTCACCAAGTTCAACTTTCCATTTCCAGTGGTCACCAAGTTCAACTTCACGGTATTGATTAAATATTTGACAATACTAAAAATCCTTATTTATTGCATGAGCGACATTAAACTGTAGTAGTACAAATCATGTTTTCAATTATATGGCAAGTGAGAAGAAAATAAAGTCTAACTACCGGTTTTTGTGTATATCTAACATCCCCCTTTCTGACTTTTAGTACCAAAAAAAAAATGACTAAGTCCAAATATCTGGCATTTTCAGAATATTGTAAAAAATCAAAATCTTGTGGACATGCACACTACCGTTATGTGTACAAGCAACCTACAAAATATTAACGTTGTAGCTCAAAAAATGTAGGAGGAGATAGCTTGACAAACCATGATCTCTTTATGCAGCTAGTACCAAAAAATGACTACGCCAAATACCTGGCAATTTGAGAATATTTAAAAAAAAAATCAAAATCCTGTGGGCATGCACACCTCTACTATACGTAGAAGCATCCTACAAAATATTAAAAGCTGTAGCTCAAAAACAGTAGGAGGAGACAGCCGGACATATCATGTATCTATATCCGGATTGACGAATGGACGGACGGACGGGTAAATTAATATGCCCTCGACATTTTGTCGCGGAGGCATAAACTACAGTATTTGTGTTCACGCTTCGCGTACACCTTGTAGGCGAAGCGTGGACACATGATCCGTATTTTAATCAGATTTGGTTGCAACCTTTACTTAGAATAGAAAGAACAAAATGAAACTATAATCATGTATTATCATTGTACAAAAACAGGTAAGCTAATCAATGTTGTTTTCATCAATGCATGGATCACATTATTTCTTTTTTGTAAAATTCAGGATAAAGAGATATTTACAAAACCCCCTCTCCCCGAAACAAACATTGATTCTTCAATAAAAAGCATTTCATTACTATCGACTATTGAACTGATTCAAAGGTCTCAGTTAGCTTGCTTTACAATTTTGCAGGTTTTTTTTAAAGTTTCTCTGTATTATTCTTCTTATTGGACGTTAAACAAGCAGCAGTAATCAATCATTCTTGTTTTCAAAAAATGCTCCAAAAACGCCAACAGGTAATTAACTGTGCATAGTTTACAGCTTCTATTGTTCATGAAAAATGGCTAAACCTCGCAATTGCTACATATAGAACATAAGGGTAAAATGCAAGTTCTTTTCTTATATCGTGTAAACCATAATACATGTATACATGCAGAAGATCTATATACGACAATAATGTTCAGAATGTTTACCTTTGAAACAACTGATATTAAATAAAGAGATGTGGTTTGATTGCCAAATGAAACTACTATCTACTAAAGTCCAAATGAGCAAGTATTATTATAATTATAGGTCACCGTACGGCCATCGTCATGTCTAAGGATTAATATTAGATGTTTAAGTCTTCGTCTAAGAATAAATGAGTTTTGATGTATTGTAGGATATAATGGAAACACGAGTAGGCTTTGTAGCTGTTGATTATGTTGTCTTTGCTATTTCTGTCGCCATTTCTATAAGCATTGGAATTTTTCAAGCTATGGCAGGAGGAAAGCAAAAAACAACATCTGAATATCTGGTTGGAAACAGACAAATGAGTGTTATTCCTGTGACATTATCTTTGATTGTGTCCTTTGAATCGTCCATCATGATGTTGGCCTATCCAGCTGAAGTATACACATATGGAATCATGTTTGTAATGAGTAGTATTGGTTTCCTGCTGGCAGTACTCTTAGGAACAAGAATAGTGGTACCATTGATTCATCCATTAAAAATAACAAGTTTATATGAGGTAACAATTTACTTTCATATTTCTTGATTTGTAAGAGCACACATGATCTGGTTGGGCTTAGACGATGAAACATTATAAAAAAATTCAGCGATATTGTTTCGGAGAACTACCACTCATCAAAAACTCTTATACGAACCACCTTTTGAAAACATAGTTTCGCATGCACAAATACGATAAGTTAGGAAGTAATTTTATTGAAATAAAGACCAAGCATTAAAATGTCTTTCAATTTCTTCAATTACACCATGAACACATAATTTAAAAAAGAAGAACATTTGCCACAGAAGGAGTACAGTAAACTATCGACAATACCATGACTGTGGCTAAAATATTGACAATACTATGGGTGAAACTAAACTGTCGACGATAACATGTCTGAGGCTAAATATCGACGATACCATGTCTGAGGCTAAATATCGACGATACCATGTCTGAAGCTAAACTATCGACGATACTTTGGCTGAGGCTGATTTCGGCGATACCATGTCTGAGGCTAAATATTGACGATACCTATGTCTGAGGCTAAATATGGACGATACGATGTCTGAGGCTAAATATCGACGATACCATGTCTGAAGCTAAACTATCGACGATACCATGGCTGAGGCTAAATATTGAAGATACCATATCGGAGGCTAAATATCGACTGATGCTGATCATACCATACTTCCTGTTTACACCTACAAGTTCAAATTTAGTTTTTTTTCTGTCAACAGGATTGAATGTCGTTTTGGGCGGCGTGTACGCTGTCCGAAGTTAATAGACGTCTTAATAAATCTAAAAACTGCAAATTTTCATTATTTCATGCGTGAGGGGATCGGTTCTGATTGAGGACATCGTGAATGCGTGAGGGGAAGTGCAATCATATCTTTATATCGAAAAATGTAACAATCACTTCAAAGAAAGGCAAGTAACTTGCATAATCTGTAAATAAAACCATCTGAAAATTTAAAAACCATCTGAAAATTTAAATGTCACTTTTTTCGGCAATTACTTGTGGGACGATTGATTTTGTAGGAGTTTTACTCTATGCACAACAGTAAATGATACATGTGTCTCTTCGTTAACGTATTCACCACAGCATAGCATCTCCGATTTTCAATATTTTGATCAGTTGAATTAGAAAATTGCGATTTAGAAATGTACATACCTTTCGAAGCGGTGACAATTACTCCACTCAAGCATAACCGGAAAATCCTCTCACGGTTTTTCATTGCAGAACCAATTTTCAGCGTGTGTAGATTACCAGCCGTGTCACATGATTAATATGAATAAAAGGTGATACGATGTACAAGTCAATGAAACAGTAACCCGGAAAGTCTAAAAACATGAAGACCATACCTATACATGTACATAAATTGTAAACAGTTGACCATTTCATCGTTCTAATGAAACTGGCGATACAACTATTAAAACATAAAATGAAGTAAAGGATAATCATATTATACGTGAAATATTTTCATTTATTTTCAGTATTTAGAATTAAGATATAAAAGCAAAGCCGTGCGGTTATTGGGTACACTGTTAGGAATGCTATCAAATGTAAGTAGTCAATCAATTTATCATAGTAACTGAGTGTATAACAACATGTTATTTACTTGTCGAAGTACAAGTAATGCTTAGAAAACGTATTTTTATTTCAAAATCTCATTTATGTCAAGCAACCAACAATCAATCAATCATTTATTTCTGAAAAATTATAAAATGCAAATAAGAAAGTTTTCTTTTATATGTGATTGAGTAATAAAATATAGTTACTACGCATGAAGCTACCATTCTGATAAACTTGCAGAGAAGATATGTAAAAACGAACTCAGTTTGAATTATATTGCAGGTAGTTTATATGGCATTTGTATTGTATGGTCCTGGGTTAGCCATCGAAGCAGGTAATTTTTTCTAGTATTTAATTTCGAAGTAATCTGTTATTTTGGAAAATTTGAATGCAACGGCAAAGTTAAATTTTAAGATATAATCTCTGATAATCAGGCTTCGTATTTAAATAAAAACAAACTGCCATTATATTGCAAATTTATTAAAAGTGGCGTTGAACACCAAAAATAAACGGTTTATAAACAATATCATTAAGTTATGGTAAAAATAACAGCAGACCCAGAACAGATCCAAGTGGAAAACTACCTTCATGTTTCCTGGATCTGACAGAAAGTTTTTTGTTTTATATCTTTGTTTTATGTCTCCTATATAGTTTTCAATCCATCTTAGAAGAAATTCCATATCCTATTTTTTTTAATAATCCCTAACGTCAAACACGATCAAAAGCTTCTGAAATATAAAAAAAAAAACAGTGGACAAAAGTTTTTTTGTTTTTTGTTTTTAGCTTATCTTTTAGAGTAGCATAAATATTATGATAGATTTCGATCAGTTGTTCAGCAGCTGATTGACAATGCATATTTTGTGTCAGGGGAAGGGATGGGTTATTTTAACAACAAAATGATTGCAAAGATTACTTTCTGCATAAGTCAATTTTTCTTTTCTTTTTTTTTTTTGGCGGGGGAGGGGTCATTTTACTTTCACATTTAAAAATATTTAACGTTATTGACAATTGAGAAAAAGTACTAATGGACAACGTGGGGAATTATTTTTTTCTGATACCAATACTTAGTCTTCAAAAACAACAAAAACACCCTGTCATCAAGGTGTTTTTTTTTCTTTTTTCAGTTACGGACTTTCCACTTTGGGCATCTGTACTCTGTATATCGACAGCATCTGTATTGTACACAGCTATTGTAAGTTTTGAATAATTGAAACTTCGGCAGTGGAAAGTAAACAGTTATAACATAAAAATGAAATGTAACATACGGGGCTTATATTTTTTTCCGAAGCTTTGAATCGAGGTTTGTAGGACTAAGTAGACCTTTTTCGTAGTTTTGTGTTTATATCTTCCTCTAAGGTCACAAGATATTGAAATCAAAACTTTACAGGAATATCATAGTCTTTGCAAAGGATTTTGATGTTTGCCAATCAGATTAAAATATGATGACCAATAAATAAATTATGCACTATAATGACACCCTACATTGCGAATCCCAATCATTTAGTTTTAAGGATATTTAACATTAGAATAATCTGAAAAACAACAGAAACTTTAGGTGATACATGTTCAATCCCAAAAAAATTAGGATTGAAAGTGTTAAACCCATGATTAAACATTTATAATCTATGAACAAGAGATACCGTCACCTTGGTATTCATTGTTTAAGAATTATGTCATGAAATAGGCATATACTCATTCTATTGTTCCCTTCTTCGACACATGAATCTTTAAATGTTTACATTTGCAAATACTTTATCAAATTGTTGCGGTTATACATGCATTTACTTTGAAATGAAAACTACAACTTTAGAACACATGGAGCTCGTTACGTATACAAAAATACATAGGATCGCGACCGCCATTGAGAGTAAAACCTCATCTGACTCTATTAAAGAGCTCTGTGGTTATAGTCTCAAATTTCTAAATGATACTTGTTTCCAAGTTGTATATCCTCTTAAGTAAGTAAGGATTAATGCAATCTTCTAACAATAGTTTTGTCTTATTTTGATGGTCCGTCTTTTACAAATAAACCCTTTTCTTTCCTTAAAATAGTAAAATGTACAGTGTCGAAAAAAACGGACTAAAATACCTCTTCATATCGAAAGATAATTTAGCACTTTAAGCACATCTAAATTAAGTTCAGTGTGCGCTATTCTCAGTTTTTTCTCACGTGTTTTCTGTCGTCTGATGGTCATCGTAACTATTTTTGTTTTGTTTTATGTCCTTATCTGTTGCCAATTCGATTCACGGCAACTATTAAGGTTATGGCTTTTATCTTCAAAATATTTCACACGAAGAAGCCAACAACAAATATGAACATCGTAATCAAAAACAAAACATAAGTGTGTTAATAGTCAAGCTAGTAGTTTCATGGTTATCTCTGTAAATTTTAAACTGAAATTACCTCGCCTGAACTGTAACGCCAGTCTGTAATTTTTTCATGAATTTCCATTGTTCGTCGTCTTGCATCGTAAGCTTTTTCGTTTACTTAGTTTCAAAATTATATACCAGTGTTGCTATCGACTTTCTGATGTGGCCATCTTACTATTAAATTCAACGTTAAGATAAGCAAGCAGTAACGTCTACACAAGTTGTCCCTGTAACTATGAAGCTGATGTCTTGCCTACAGTTATGTTGTGGTTATTGGAAGATAACTCTTAAGTTTTGTTCCATTAGCTAAACTGTCATAGCACCTAATTGTGACTCTTGGTCGTAAATTAAAAGTAAAGAAAATTACGGGTAAATTGTCTTTCATTTGAAGGTATGTTGTCAAACTTTTTTGGTGAACTATGGGATTGATTTGTTTTTGTAAATAATTTTTATAAAATTGTCCAAATGTTTAAAAACATTTATATAACTTTGTCTATAAAAAGTGGTTGAGTTGCATTTTTTATACAGTGGTAAACACTTTTTTTTATGCTTTGCTGACAATGTTTTAGGGAGGATTAAAGGCTGTGATATGGACAGATGTTTTCCAGTGCTTTATTATGTTTACTGGAGTTTTTGCAGTATTATTTAAGGTATACATTATTATTTCTTTATCTAACTTTTTTCTTTTCATTCTTTGTTAAAATAATAGCAAAAGCGCGAAAAAATTTATTCATTATAGTTATCATTATGGAAAATATGCAATATATAGACAAAGGAGTATTAGATATTCATCATCATGTGTCCAGATGGAATTCTATTCTCGAAAGTTATGTCCATGGATGTTTTGATGGACCTTTCCATGCAGACGATATTTATATGTGTAGTAAGTTTTGATGGGAAAAAACCAACAAACAGACAAAACAAATAATATAAAAAAAAAAAAAACAACAAAAAGTAAAATCAACAGAAACACAACCCCCTCCCCCCCCCCCCCCCCAAAGCAATAATATCTTACTAAACAAATACTTCAATTGATCTATATTTTTTAACCAATACTAAGTGAAATATTCCAAACCATAGAAACTATAAGTGTAAATACTAAGTGAAATATTCCAAACCATTGAAACTATAAGTGTAAAAACTTGTTTTACTATGAAAAAAAAAGAACTTTTCCAACATCTGTACCACAAGATAGGGGTAATAGAAAAATACATCAGTTTTTTTATACTTAAGTTGTTAACAGTTTTGACCAGTTGTTTCTCCCTAGGATGTTCAAGGTTGACAATTGACCATTTGTTCTCAAGTTTTCAACTAAAGAGGTCCCGTCGTCTTGAATTCCAACAGTAGCCATCCCAAATTATCCACGTGAATAACAAAATACTGAGCTTTTATTGTCAACCTTGTTCTTCGTTCAGATTTTGGTCCTTACTGTTGATAGTGTAAATGGCATATGCTGTTCAAATAAAGTCTTCATAGGTACCAGGCTTAAAGTTTAGCACGCAAAAAAAAAAAAAAAAAAAAATCAGCGCGTTTTGTCTACAAAAAATGAAAACAACACGTTATAAATTTCATGCGTCCGAGGCGCTTTTCTGGATTTACCTTCATCAGGAACGCTAAAAGCCGAATATTTGACTGAGGAAATTGACACCTTAGTTTCTAACAATTTCAAAATTTATTTACTGACAATTTTAGAAAGGTTTGTTATAAATCATGTCAGCACCGAAGTACTTTCGGTACTGACTACTGGGCTGAAGATACCCTCGGACGAAATACTCATCAGTGACGCTTAAATCGAAAAAGTTAAATATGCCAAATAAAGTACGAAGTTGAAGAGCATTGCCTATCGACCAAAAATTTCGAAAGGGTATGCCAAATGCAGATACGATATATCCCTGGGTTAGAAAATCCTTAGCATTTCATAAAATTCAAAGTTTTGTAAACATTTTATTTGTAATTATGACCATATCAATAATAATTCATGTCAACACAGAAGTGCTGACAACATATGGAAAACTTTGTTCCTAATTAGCACGCAAACTCTGCTCTGTAAATATATGCTACAATAATATGGTGACTGTCACTATTCATATGCAACTAGTAAAATTCATATATATATAAATAAATATATATCAGCAGGGTTTAAGAACATTTGTTGTTCGACCTGTTAGTCAAATGCGTTTTGTTAAAATATACTTTTTCACTTTTTTGGTCTTTTGGAAAACGTTGTTTGTGCTGCATTTAGACCCCTCTAACAAGAAATTTGTTGTGCATGCACACGTATAAAAATTGCGGTTTTTATCCAACGCAATCATAGGTTTGAACGTTGTTTTCAATTTAGACTTGTTTATATTTTTTCGTTTGGGCTTGTATTATATTTGCCTTCGGGTTTATATGATCCGTTCATCCTAATTTGACTCCTCAAAATTCGAGAGTCTATCCAAAATTGAGGTAAATTACACGGCCTTCCAAATACTGTTTCGATTCCTAACATCACTGAAGAGACATTAATTGTCGAAATCCGGATATGGTGTACATAAATCTTTGCACCTTTGTTTGCGGTATACCATCTGTGCCGCAAGTTTATTGTTTTCTGTTTGGTATTAAATTTTTAATTAAGATCCATTTATTACACCTTGTGATCCGTTTATTTGGCAATCGCCAATGGCAGTCAGCAGGGTTTAAGAACATTTGTTGTTCGACCTGTTAGTCAAATGCGTTTTGTTTAAATATACTTTTTCACTTTTTTGGTCTTTTGGAAAATGTTGTTTGTGCTGTATTTAGACCCCTCTAACAAGAAATTTGTTTTTGCATGCACACGTATAAAAATTGCGGTTTTTATCCAACGCAATCATAGGTTTGAACGTTGTTTTCAATTTAGACTTGTAAATAAATATATATATATAGATACAAGTCTAAATTGAAAACAACGTTCAAACCTATGATTGCGTTGGATAAAAACCGCAATTTTTATACGTGTGCATGCAAAACAAATTTCTTGGTAAAGGGGTCTAAATACAGCACAAACAACATTTTCCAAAGGCCAAAAAAAGTGAAAAAGTATATTTAAACAAAACGCATTTGACTAACAGGTCGAACAACGGATGTTCTTAAACCCTGCTGACTGCCATTGGCGCTTGCCAAATAAACGGATCACAAGATATAGCAAAATGGATCTTTATTATTAATTTAATACCAAACAGAAAAAAATAAACTTGCGGAAAAGATGGTATACCCCAAACATGAGGTGCAAAAATTTGTACACCATATCCGGATTTCGACAATTAATGTCTCTTCAGTGATGTTAGGAATCGAAACGGTATTTGGAAGGCCATATAATTAACCTCAATTTAGGATAGACATTTGAACTTTGATGAATGGATCATATAAATCCGAAGAAAAAAATAATACATGCCCAAACGAAAAAATATAAATAAGTCTAAATTGAAAACAACGTTCAAACCTATGATTGCGTTGGATAAAAACCGCAATTTTTATACGTGTGTATTTATGTGTTATATTATACTTATAACTCCGACATTATTTCGTTTTTAAAGGGAACATATGACGCTGGTGGACCTCGAGAGGTAGTTAATATTTCATCGCGAACAGGGAGGATGAATTTTTTTAAGCAAGTATATTTTATATTATAGATAAGTGTGGAAGCCATAACCCTTTTGTCTTACTCGACAGAAATGGTTATCATATGTTATTTCTAACCAGAAATCACACACTCTAGATTCAAACATGTCGAATAAATGCTTGAATTTGCTATAACCAATTTTTGAACCCGTAACGTCTAATTGTCTTTATCCAATAGAAGGAATTTTAGAAATTGTTCCTATGAATTCAGTCCATGATTACAAATTCCTAAATTTCTGATTATAAATTTTAAAATTCCATCGACCAGTGTTATTTAAAACCATCTTAGTTTTTTTTTAGTTTTGATGTATGTATCTTATCTCATGTTTAGAAGGGTTATTGAGGTAGTGTAGTTAGATACTTTGTTTCGAAAGAGTGTATATCAATCATGATTTTATCCTTTTAGCTTTGACTTGGACCCAACAGTTCGTCATACGTTTTGGGGATTAGTAGTAGGATCAGCAATACGTTTGATAAACATGACTTTCTCCCAGCCAACAGTTCAGCGAATATGTGCGCTAGAGAAACAAAAAGATGCAAACAAGTAAGTTCTTAAGGCAATGAAAATCTCTATATATCCTAGAGCTTAGCAATAAACAACAAATGATCTATTAAATATTACGGTACATTATAAGTCCAACAAAGTGATGAGATGTATTGTAATCGGTGTATCGTCTGCTCATCCTGTCTGTACCTGCTGCAATGTACTATTTCTATATCATTTAATGGATTACAAGGTATCGCTTCGTTTCCATTAATTTTTCACTTTGATTTGTATCTTCTAAATGGATTTTTGAGATTTGAACATCGATTAACTACTGTTGCCTCTAATTTACATTTATGATTACAGTTAAACTTTTGCATTACGGGATTTGGTGTTTGTATGACAGTTTTCCGCTGAATTTAAGATAAACTTTGCCTAGGAGTATGCTTCTTACATTTGTTCGTGCAATATAAGATTTAATTTCATGATAATTCTTTTTTTCGCAGAATGCTGTTCGTATCAGGGCCTGCATTTCTTTTAACCTTATCACTAGCATGCGGTGAAGGGCTTGTAGCATATGCGTACTTTACCTCTCAGGGATGCGATCCTATTGCCTCTAAAGACATTAAGAAAGCAGATCAGGTAAAATACATATTATGTTTTAGTTTGTCTTTTTTCATTTCTTTAATAAAATTGTAGATCCTAACATAGAAATGTCATGGTACTTCAATGAAAAACACAAATTTTATTTAGGAAAAGTTATTTCACTGAAATCTCATTTAACTTAAGCACAAAGATGTATTGTATATGTATACTTGTTTTTATTGTCGAAGGTTGTATGTTGATCCATTGATGACATGTTTTTATTGTTGAATGCCGTATGTTGATCCATTGATGACTTGTTTTATTGTCAAAGGTCGTATGTTGATCCATTGATGACTTGTTTTTATTGTCAAAGGTCGTATGTCGAAGGTCATATGTTGATCAATTGATGACGTGTTATTTTCATGTCTAATTTGATCGTTTGTTTGATGTCTTATAGAAAGGTCGTATATTGATCCATTGTTGACTTGTTATTTTCATGTCTAATTGGATCGTTTGTTTGATGTCTTATAGAAAGGTCGTATGTTGATCCATTGATGACGTGTTATTTTCATGTCTAATTTGATCGTTTGTTTGATGTCTTATAGAAAGGTCGTATGTTGATCCATTGTTGACTTGTTATTTTCATATCTAATTGGATCGTTTGTTTGATGTCTTATAGAAAGGTCGTATGTTGATCCATTGTTGACTTGTTATTTTCATGTCTAATTGGATCGTTTGTTTGATGTCTTATAGAAAGGTCGTATGTTGATCCATTGATGACTTGTTATTTTCATTTCTAATTGGATCGTTTGTTTGATGTCTTATAGAAAGGTCGTATGTTGATCCATTGATGACTTATTTATTTCATATCTAATTGGATCGTTTGTTTGATGTCTTATAGAAAGGTCGTATGTTGATCCATTGTTGACTTGTTATTTTCATATCTAATTGGATCGTTTGTTTGATGTCTTATAGAAAGGTCGTATGTTGATCCATTGTTGACTTGTTATTTTTATGTCTAATTTGATCGTTTGTTTGATGTCTTATAGAAAGGTCGTATGTTGATCCATTGATGACTTGTTATTTTCATTTCTAATTGGATCGTTTATTTGATGTCTTATAGAAAGGTCGTATGTTGATCAATTGATGACTCATTAATTTCATATCTGTATGGATCGTTTGTTTGATGTCTTATAGAAAGGTCGTATGTTGATCCATTGATGACGTGTTATTTTCATGTCAAATTGGATCGTTTGTTTGATGTCTTATAGAAAGGTCGTATGTTGATCCATTGATGACGTGTTATTTTCATGTCTAATTGGATCGTTTGTTTGATGTCTTATAGAAAGGTCGTATGTTGATCCATTGATGACGTGTTATTTTCATGTCTAATTGGATCGTATGTTTGATGTCTTATAGAAAGGTCGTATGTTGATCCATTGATGACGTGTTATTTTCATATCTAATTGGATCGTTTGTTTGATGTCCTAAAGACTTATAACCAGCATTTTTTAGTCATATTGCCAAAAAAATGTTATTAAAAAATGAATTATTTCATGTTTATGAACAGTTTTCTTGTTTTCACAAAAAAAAATAATCCTTTACCTGCAAGTTACATAACTAAATGTTATATTGTAATGTTAAGTAAAATCGCTGCCCAATTGGTTGAATTTTTTCGAAAGATAAGTAATATTAAGAAATATTCTAATCAACGATTTTTATGCCCCACCTACGATAGTAGAGGAGCATTATGTTTTTTCGGTCTGTGCGTCCGTTCGTTCGTTTGTCCGTTCGTCCGGCCTATCGTCCGTCTGTCCCGCTTCAGGTTAAAGTTTTTGGTCAAGGTAGTTTTTGATGAAGTTGAAGTCCAATCAACTTGAAACTTAGTACACATTAGTACACTTTGATATGATCTTTCTAATTTAATGCCAAATTAGAGTTTTGACCCCAACGGTCCACTGAACATAGAAAATGATAGTGCGAGTCTGGCATCCGTGGACTATGGACACATTCTTGTTTTTTATAGATTATGCCGTACATGGTGTTTCATATCTTTAGAGACACACCTGGAATGGCAGGATTATTTATGGCAGCAGTTTTCAGCGCATCTTTGAGGTAAATGCTAAAAACATTAATCAATGTGTAAATTATGGTAGACATTCGTAAAAATGTTTGTATTTATGTTCTAATTTTTTAGTCCCCTACCGACGAAGTCGAAGGGGACTTTAGGTTTGCACTCCGTTCGTCTGTCCGTCTGTCTGTCCATCTGTCAGTCCGGCAAATCAGTTTTCCAGACTTTTTTTCTTCGTGCTTGAAGATATTGATTTCATATTTGGTTTATTGATTTATCATGACAAGTTACAGGTCAAGTTCAATTTTCACGATTTTAGCTTTTCTCTTTGTTCAGTTAAAGCCCTTTCCCTAGAATTAGATTTTTGATGAAATACTTATTAATTAGGAGATTTCTGTTCAAAGGGAAATAACTCATTTTTTAAAAGACTTTTAAAAGACAAAATGACATTTTGGATTTTTTTCCTTTTCTTTGGTAAATTGTTTGAAGAATTTAGTGGTAGGTTTGTTTGTCATTCTTGAAGATATTGATTTGATAATTAGTATATAGTTTTATCATGACAAGTTACAGATGAAGTTGGAATTTTGTTCCAGTCTGATAATTTTGTGCAGAGTTATGGTCTTTGGATATAGAAAATTCACTTAAATAATCAGTTTTCATCAGTTTTTTTCGTCATGCTTGAAGATTTTGACTTGATATTTTTATGTAGTTTACACCATGACAAGTTATAGATCAAGTTAGAATTTCGTTCCATTACAATGAATTTGTAACCGGTAGGGGACTATGTATTGCCATGCAATACTCACAGAATGCTTGTTAAAACTATTTTTTCAATCATCGGTTCTAGAATGTACAACAAAGATAAATGAGTTGGAAAATGTTAATGAAAATAACTCTTTATAAATTTTGTGCGTCCAATGCGCATTTCTAGATTCATCTTCATCGGGAACGTTCAAACTTAAACATTTGAAAGCCTGAGATGTATTGATAGTGGAAACTTTAGGGGCTTTATAAATAAACGGGAACTAAAAAGAATTGCAAAATCCATCTCAGGTCAACTTTGCCTGAGGGAGTTGGAACCTTAGTTTTTAATATTTTTTTTATTTATCAACGGGGAATTTTAGAAACAGCAGTTAAAAATCATATCAATACAGTGACTAACAGACACCTAGCAGAAGTGTCGACCCAGTGCTAGTAAGAGGCGAAAGATAAAACAAAAAGGGTTATTCAAACCCGTAAGTCGAAAAAAAGCTCATAATGCCAGGGCAAAGAACAAAAAAGACCAAAACACAAACAACAGTACACAAAACACAACATAGAAAACCAAAGACAGGGCAACATAAACCCCACAAAATACCGTGGGAGATATCAGGTGCTCCAGAAGGGTAAGCAGATCGTGCTCCACACGTTGTGTTACTCCTATACAATACGTTCATAAGCTATATCAAGTGATAAGGCATCACACAATAGCGGATTCGAAATCGACTCTTATCATATACTAAGACATCACTTAAATGCAAACCATCGTTCATAGATATAAGAAGATGTGGTATGAGTACCAATGAGACAACTCTCCATCCAAGTCACAATTTGTAAAAGTAAACCCTTATAGGTCAAAGTACGGCCTTTAACACGGAGCCTAGGCTCACACCGAACAGCAAGCTATAAAGGGCCCCAAAAATTACTAGTGTAAAACCATTCAAACAGGAAAACCAACGGTCTAATCTATATAAAAAACGAGAAACGAGAAACACTTATGAACCACATCAACAAACGACAACCACTGAACATCAGGTTCCTGACTTAGGACAGGTGCAAACAAATGCAGCGGGTTTTAACGTTTTAATAGGCGCCAATCTTCACCCTACCTGATTCATGTAGATTTTCTAAAAACTGACCGAGTGAGAAATTTTGATATTGAAACTTTTTCTTTTAACATGGTATACAATGGCTCTTTAACGATCATGTATAATTGATTATTTTTCCTGGAAAAAGAAAGAAAAGATTTTTCCAAAATTCTATCAATCCTTATCAATGAATGTAAATTATATACGTATACATACGCAAGTAAGTGTTTTGAGTGCGGTTAAGTTGCATTATCGGACGCTTCTGTTCCACATCTGCTGGACGATCGTCGGATAACATTAAACAAAATATAGAAATATATAAGCCATTCAGTCTTACCTACTTTATTTTCCTTCTATAGTACATTGTCATCGTTATTGAACAGTAGTGCTGCCATGGCAGAAGAAGACATTATAAGACAAATTTTTAAAAATATTTCTGATCATAAAGCTACAATCATTGCCAAGATTTCAGGTAAGCTATGTTAGAATAGATTATTAGGTTATATATGTATATTTAATGATAATAAAGAAAAAAAAGCGTTTGAATAGCGCTTATGTTTGTCATGTCAAATAACATATCTGATTTTAATATTTACTTTGTTGAACCCTGTGATCTATGTTTCCAGGGCCTATATATGGTTTATGTACAGAAGATTTTGTCAAATTTCATCAACATCTCTAACTTTGGACTTTTCGAAGTGTAAATGTTAACGCTATATACTAAAAGTTCGTTTAAATCGTTTCAAATCACTTTCTCACATGTTTATGCATCAACTTCAAACACTTTTCCTGTTGAAATAATGAACTACATTTTAGGGATCAAACATGGTTCTTACGGCACCTTCTCCTCTACCTACAAAGTTAAAACTACTGCAAAGATATTAGATAATCAATATATACAGAAATAATATTAGAAAGTTTGGAGATCAGTCAAAGTATTTAAAATCCAATTCATCCCTAGTACTTCAATTTGAAGTAACTTTCCATTTCTATATCTTTTTAAAAAGAACAATTATTACTTAAATCAACCAGGTTTTTACTTTTTTTCAATTCATACAAGTATATATGCCACAAATCATGCAGTAACGCAAATTATAAATATAATATTATATTTAGAATTAGTATTGTATTGTTATGATAACAATATCAATCATTTGTCTATTTTTATTCAGGAGTATTTTACAGATTCCAAGCTTCTAACTAATATTTCCGTTTTCTTAACTGAAATATTTTACTTCTTATAATTTTTTTTTAAAGAAACAAAAATGTTTAAAATTCCTCTTAGATTTGATAAATTTCCAATAATTACTCCGTCCGAAGTACAAATAAATGTAGAGGCAAGTTTAACGATCAAGTCCGATTTTCAAACTTACCAGCATTGGTGGCCTTGAGCTGTTCCATTCTCAATTTTATAATGCAACACAACCTTTTGTTGATATGCAAAAAAAAAAAAAAAAAAAGATATTTTCGTTTCAGAAACAACCAAACCACCTGTAACTTTCAAATCATTTTGCACAATTACATGAGCATTATTGTTATAAATTTTTCACTTGGAATATCTATTTGTTGTATAGGTTTTCATAACTCTGTGTTTATTTATTGATCTATTTCCATAAATTTCAGTGGTTTTCTTTGGAGCACTTGGTGTTGGTCTTACATACTTTCTGAAGAATGTCAAAGGAATCATTTCTCAGGTACATATATCTTAAACAAAACCATGCTCGTGTGTAATAAACGTTTTCAATTCATTTTGATTTTTGTTTTTATTGCAAGTCTTATTTAGGATAATAGAGATGATTTTTCATTTCCTATCGTTAATTATCTATTTTTAGATGGTGACGTTCCCTTGTCACTATCTTATGGTGTTTATATATCTCAACTTTTACGATTCGCTCGAGTATGAAACAATGTATTAGATTTTAGCGAGAGAAATTTATGTATTACTGAAAAATTATTACACCAGGGTTTTCGATATCATAAACTAGTCAAAACATTTACTAAATTTTATCATCGGTATAAGGACATCATTCGTAAATATAACTCAACATGCAGACATCTTATACGTTCGGGTATTTCACATCCAATCTTTTATGGTAATATTCTTAACAAAGCACAAAAATGTCAGTATTCACCTCAAAAGCTAACAAAACCTTTAAACAGACTTATTAAGAAGGAATATAGTTACGATACTGTTGTCTGGTCATTAAAGATTGCATATTTTGGCTTTAATATTGATTCACTTATAGGGTCTTTGCATCGGATTTAACACATTTATTATAAAACCAGTTGTTGGCATGACATGGGTTATGTTCTTCTCATATATTTTATGACGGTATAATACTAAACCCCTAACAGGAGGGATTGTGCCTGATATTCATATGATGAAGACATAATCTTTCAATCAGTTTAATTGAGGTCTGGAGCTGGCATGTCAGTAACTGCTAGTAGTCTGTTGTTATTTATGTATTATTGTCATTTTGTTTATTTTCTTTTGTTTCCTATTCTGACATCGGACTCGGACTTCTCTTGCACTGAGTTTTACTGTGCGTACTGTTGTGCGTTTGTTTTTTCTACATTGGCTAGAGGTATAGGGGAGGGTTGAGATCTCAAAAAACATGTTTAACCCCGCCGCATTTTTGCGCCTGTCCCAAGTCAGGCCTTTGTTAGTCTTGTATCATTTTTAATTTTAGTTTCCTGTGTATAATTTGGAGTTTAGTATGACGTCCATTATCACTGAACTAGTATACATATTTGTTTAGGAGCCAGCTGAAGGACGCCTCCGGGTGCGGGAGTTTCTCGCTGCATTGAAGACCCATTGGCGGCCTTCGGCTGTTGTCTGCTCTATGGTCGGGTTGTTGTCTCTTTGACACATTCCCCATTTCCATTCTCAATTTTATTATTGACGCTATCATTCCGTTGGATCTAACACGTACGTGTTAAAGTGACAATTATATTCCTTTAAAAGGTAGATCATGCACATTCAGTTTGAATTTTGAAAGCATTATTCAGAGATCGATAAATGTCATATATCCAATAAATAGCACATTGTGTATATTTCATTGCTTGTTTTTTATGCATTTAAACAAATTGCAATCTTTATTTGAAGAACTAATCGTATTACTATCTTGCTGTAATTGAAAAAATTTATATAATGCAGATAAGCACTAGTTTTACATCAGCCATCAGTGGGCCAGTTACTGGACTGTTTTTGTTTTCTGCATTTTATCCGTGGGGAACCAAAAGGGTGAGTTGAACAAATTGATTAACGTAAACTACTTTTTACTTTATTGCATTCGTTTCCTGTATGTTATTTTTTGTCAAATTTTACTTACGGCATACGAATGATCATTAATATACATAACATGGTGTCGTCATACAGAATATTTCACATCTTGCTTCTTTTTCTTTGAAACTTCACATAATATATATAGAATACTAAAGTTGATATTTTTGTCATTGCTTTGTTTATAAATGTAACGCACATGGTGATTGAATAATAATTAATTGTTAACAAAAACTAGATATTGACAATGCTCCCGCCCTTTTCTGCTCTGCCATATGCATGAGTATAGTTCCACATATTTTAGATTTTACAAACAGTGATTTTGGCATACAACTTGAAATTGTTACGCTGTCTGTAAGACACAAATGATGTCCCCGCTTGACCATAGGAAATTATAAATTTAACACTATGCATGATGATGTAACTGTAGGAGGAAATAGCCGGACAAACCATGATCTCTTTATGCAGCTAGTACAAAAAAAATGACTAAGTCATACTACCTGTCATTTTCAGAATATTCGAAAAATAAAATCAAAATCCTGTGGCCATGCACACCTCCATTATAGGTTTGAACATCCTACAAAATATTAAAGCGGTATCTCCAAAACTGTAGGAGGAGCTAGCCGGACTAACCATGATCTCTTTATGCAGCTTGTACCAAAAAAATGACTAAGTCCAACTACCTGTCATTTTCAGAATATTTAAAAGAAATCAATATCCTGTGGCCATGCACACCTCCATTATGTGTATAAACATCCTACAAAATATTATTTTTAGCTGTACCTCCAAAACTGTAGGAGGAGATATCCGGACAAACAATGTATCCTAATCCGGACGGACGGACGAACAAACGGACGGACGAACGGACGGACGGACGGACAGGGGTAAATTAATATGCCCCATACATTTTGTCGTGGGGGAATAAAAATAAGTTAAAACCGTGATCTAAGTGCAATAGACCAAATTAAAAGTGATCAGATTGATTGATTTAGGTCTTTACTTTTTGTGTAAAATTTTAAAATCAAATAAACTCAGACGTATATTTTTATGTTTAGTTTCCTTACATACTCGGGTTTTCTGCTTTAAAATTCCATCTCTAAAGTTTCTATTGGCTATCTTTAAACATTACCTTTTAAACTGAATATTTACCCATTACAAACAAGGAAAAAACATTCTTCCAATTATCCATACCCAAACACACTAACTTTTTATTAAATTGATACCGTAAACACACTTATTTTGTTGTTGTTTGGCAGTGACGTTGTTTCGAAAATTATAAAACGTTAAATTCACTCAGATGTAAAATGTAGATAATTTTGACCTTCTTTAAAATTGAAGGCAATACATATTCCTGCAAAATAAAATGAACGTAATGCGGACAGGACATGGATGAGTATCTAGAGTCGTGACGATTTCAATCATAAAAACCATTGAATTTCAATCGGACAACTGTCAAGGCTAACAAAGAAGGTATTTCGTTTTAATTCAATCGAGTCATATACTAAATGATTTGCCCAGATATTTGTCAGATACTAGAGACCCAGTTAATGTCAATGACAAAGATCTACATTGTTTAATGTATGCTGATGATATTGTTTTATTATCTACATCAGCTGAAGGACTACGAGAAAAGCTGGGAATGCTTGATAAATTTTGCAAAGATTGGTGTCTCAATGTGAATACTAATAAGACAAAGGTGCTGATTTTCAACAAGGCAGGCAGATATGTAAAACAGATATTCACATTTCAGAATATAAATCTGGAATGTGTTTCAAAATACAAATACCTAGGTTTATATTTAAGCTCATCTGGTTCATCCAGTTATGCTCAAAATGAACTATACAAAAAATCCCTGAAAGCTCATTTCAAATTAAGGAAAGATCTTTTATCACTTAATCCTGATGTAAAAACAAGTATTCATGTTTTTGACCACACTGTAAAACCTATTTTATTATATGGTAGCGAAATATGGGGGATGTTTAATTCTCTTTCCTCTAAATGTAAGAAGGAAGATATATCTTTTGAAAAATTATATTCAGGTTTACCCTGTGAGAAACTTCATATAAAATTTTGTAAATTTATACTTGGGGTACACAAGAAAACAACAAATGCTGCAGTGTTATCTGAACTTGGAAGATTTCCAATATATTTTAATATTATAAAAGGAATGTTATTGTACTGGTATAGATTAGAGAATTTAGGTTATAATTTTCCTCTATTAAAAGAGGCATATACACAATCAAAGACACTACATCACATGAATATAACATCATGGTATGGTTCAATAAATGTTGTTTTTAAAATACTTGGTATTGACTATACAAATGCCATAAATGCTCCATTTTGTGAATCCAAGCTATCAATATTGTTTATTAGCTGTTGGAAAAAAACAAATAGATAAATTTTCAGACAGTAAACTGAAAACCTACCTTTTATATAAAACAAATTTTGGTTTTGAAGTTTTACTAAATTACGTGTATCTTCTCATAGATTACAAATAGAATTAGGTAGATATCAGGGTATTCCCCGAATTAACAGAATATGTAATAAATGTTCTTCCAATACTGTCGAAGATGAGGCTCATTGTCTATTTGATTGTAACAAATTTGAGGATGATAGAAATTGTATGTTAGCTAGTATTGCAAAATATAATTCTTATTTTAATCATATGAGCAGTCAAAGCAAAATTATCTGGTTATTTAGTGTAGAAAATGTTGAGTTACTTAAAATAATATGTAATTTTATATACAAACATCTTCCTTAGTGAAGATTAGTTAAAGGAAATCTATGTGTGTATATACATTTGATTGGACATAGAAAATTATATTCATCTGAATATCACAAACATACTAGCCGATTAAAAAAAAAAAAAATAATTGTTAAGATATATTATTTATTCAAATGTTCTCTTATATCCTTGAGGCATCGTCCCCTGGTATCAACTGCATTCAAGTTACCTATGATGCTTCCTTGTTTGCTTTTGATACAGGTAGGAAAGAGACATTTACACACATTTTACATGCCTATGGCCCATAAGGTATCGCCCCCTGGTGTCAGCTGCCTTTAGGAAACCATAATGCTTTCCTATTTGCTGCTGACACAGGATGAGTCATGGACATGCTTAATTTCTACTTTCTTTTTGGCTAATTATTATATATTTAATTGATCCAACTTTTTGTGTACTATACATATGTGGATATCTATTTTTCTTTTTTTTCTTTTTGGGCTGCTTGTTTGTTATCTATATCAACCACACTTGCAATAAAATGCATTAGTATTAAAAAAAAAAATACTGTAGATTCTTTATCTACGTATTCTTTAAGAACTTAAATAGTTCTCGTTTAACTTTTTTTTTTTTTTATCTCATTGTTTGTATTGTATTATGAAAAATTATTGATGTTGTAATGTTTATGCCCTTTGGGGCCCATAATTGGAAATAAAATATCTTATCTTCTCTTATACTTTGTGCATATTTGTTTTTTTTTGAAATTCTATAAAATTGTTTGTTCTGATTCTTAGGCAGCATTTTATTTGCATAAACATATTAAGACATCTAACCTCATTCCCATATCAAAGTCCTTCATATTGTTGAAAACATGATGGAAACAGCCTTTGGTAAAAACTTCATTGTGATCTTTGTGTTTGATCATATTTGTAGAGTGCTATTATTGGTACTTTGGTGAGTGTTGCGCTAGTATTCTGGCTTACCTTAGGACAAGCAATGTCAAAGTCACTTCGTAGAGCAATACCACTTTCTTCAGGACCAACAGATCAGTGCTACCATAATTCATCGATGATAAGTGTGCATGGTGTTTCCAATTCTACAGTAGGATATTCATATTTTACAACAGAAGATCCACTTTCTGTTGAGTCAACAGAACCGTAAGTGTAAATAAAATCAGCAATGAAATATCTTAAACATCAATGTCCTCGCCCAAGAAAGTAATAATGGGATAAAGGCGATAATTACGTCAAAGGAATGTCGTAGATTGGAGGTATTGCGGCAAGTCTGTGGGTTTGTAATACACATTTGTCTCTGTTGTGGTTTTATTCTTAGTAACTACGTTGTTTGAAAATAGTAGTTTTCGATGCAGTGGTTGCATGGTGAATTATATATTTGTATTGATATAATCAATGCTTTACATTAGTCTTCTCTCACTTATATTCCAAAGCATAGCCGTTTCCTAAATAATGTTTCCCGTTTTTTTTTTTATAGAAATCAAACATTGTATGACGGGGCTGTGAGGTTGTTTTATAAATTATATCCCACATATTTGATTGAATAAAAAGTTCACTAAACAGGTGCCACTAGTGGAGCAGGATCTGTGTATCTTCCCGGTGCAACTGAGATCACCAGTTTTTGGTCGGGCTCGTGTTGTTCAGAATTTAGTTTTCTCTGTAAAAGTTTGTGGACTTGATTGTCTTTTTGTGGTCGTCTTTCGTGTTTTTTTTTGTTTTTTTTACTTATACGAGTTTTGAATGTCCTCGTGGTATCTTTCGCCTCTTATATAATATGTCCTATCCAAGATTGTAAAAAAGATATGTCTAAACATTGTGTGTAAAACGAAGCATCAAACATAAAAATGAAGAATTCTGACAATTTATACAAATTCTGGCGCTTCGTTTCTTGCACGTCCGCAATATTTTTTTTTTTCTGTTCGGTAATTTAATTGGTTGGATTCACTTCGTTTTGTGATATTTGTGTATAAATATTAACCGGTTTTTCATCGAAAGAAGCAAAGAGTTTATTTTCATTTTACATTTTACAGAAGATTAAGCTTATTAAGGTCATATTATTATCTATGAACGTGTTTCTAAAACGGCTTTAGAAAGAATATCGAGAGAAAAAAAAATATATATTCCTTTCACAAGCTGGCCCTTGTATAGTTGGCATATGTTTTAACTTAAGGCGACAGTAGTTTATCGATGTTCAAATCGATTAGGAAGAGACTTATCTATCAAGGTAAAACACAGAAACTGATGGAATTGCATGAACTCTAAAAGGAGCGAGACCTGGTGCGTCGACAGAGTAGTTACTCCTGCTTGTCATGAGAATACACTCATTTTAAATGTCACAATCGCCAGAAGGACACATTCGGTAAAATTACAGATCAGAACACTATTCGGATATCTAAAGATCGAAGACTGCGCTAGTGAGTTGAGACACCGACACAATGTTCCAAATCATTTTGGTGAAATAATATTTGCGAATATAGAAAATAGATATTGTATTTCAAGTTTTCAGTAATCAAATTGTTTTCTTGTATCTTTGTTGGTAATCATTTACATTATGAAATATTTTCAACAAATTAACAAATTAAGTAGTAGGTTTGGTAGTAAGAGATGTCCATCAATGTGCTAAGATGCCGAATCAGTACACAATAAGCAAATGGCGGCGACAAATAACGTGTTGATATTCATCCTCTTGTTCTTTGTTCCATTACCGTATTTGTGTAAACTATTTGAGTTTTAATAAATTAAAATGAGAATATTACTAGGAATGCAGCTTTCCATCGCATTGTAGATTATGAACTGCTGAAACCCAGATAAAAATATATTTACATAGATGACCCTCTTTAACTAATAGGTCAAAAGCAAAGACTGAACTCATTTGATTTTGATTGTAAAAGATGACAACCAATGTGCTTAGATGGAGAAACCAGTTCTCAAAATTCAAATGGCAGCGACGACAAATAACACGTTAATATTAATCCTCTTGGTATTTGTTCCATATCCGTGTTTGTGTAAACTTTTTGAGTTTGAATAAATTGAAATGAGAATATTACTGGGAAGGCAGCTTACCATCGCATCGTAAAACTATGAACTGCTGAGAATCGAATAAATATATATTTACCGAGATGACCCTCTTCAGCTTTTCTTTTTATTAAGTGTCCAGAAGCAATGACTGGATGTATTTTAAAAGATGTGCATTGTAAGTCGTCACTAAATCAATATGGACCTCTCGGGTTGAATTTACGCTTTATAATATTTTCATTCAGAATTGCTGTACATCATATGTACATATATTTAAGATATATATATTTAATATACGAGTGGAATTTATTGAGCCTTTCTATTCATTTATTGACAAATGTTACTGAATTTATTAGGTAAAAATGCAATGGATGTTTTAACCTATTTAGCGTGGACTTATCTGGTGAATATATCCATTTTTTTTTTTTTTTTCAAATTTCATATAATTGATTAGATACTATTTTTGATTACGAGCATGGGCCCAGCTATGATTGTCACATATCATTCATGCATCATGCAGTTGTCCAGTTAGAAGGTTATTTCACTGGTCTGAGCTCGTTCCTTTTTTATGCCCTGTGCACGTTTTGTCTCATATTTTGACGCACTGCCTTTTATGTATAGCACACTCTATACTGTTATCCTAAATCTACAGTGTCTTTTATTACGTTGATGATGTTTTTATTTCGACGTTTCCTGTTGAATTTTATTTCTATGAAGAATCGTATTTAGATTAAGCCAACACAATTATATGGAATAAAATTGAGAATGGAAATGGGGAATGTGTCAAAGAGACAACAACCCGACCAAACAGCAGAAAACAGCCGAAGTCCACCAATGGGTCTTCAACACAGCGAGAAAATCCCGCATCCGGAGACGGGCTTCAGCTGGCCACTAAACAAAAATGTGTACTAGTTCAATGAAAATGGACGTCACACTGAACTAAAACATATATAAATGAACTAAAATTAAAAAAAAACATACAAGACTAACAAAGGTAAGAGGCTCCTGACTTGGGACAGGTGCAAAAATTTGGCGGAGTTAAACATGTTTTGTGATATCTCAACCCTCCCCTTATACCTCTAGCCAATGTAAAATAAACAAACACACAGCAATATGCACAGTAAAACTCAGTTTAAAAGAAGTCCGAGGCCGATGTCAGAAAAGGTTACAAATGAAACTAAGCAAAAGGACAATGATACATAAAATAACAAAGGACTACTAGCAGTTACTGACATGCCAGCTCCAGACCTCAATTAAACTGATTGAAAGATTATGTCTTCATCATATGAAAATCAAGCACAATCCCTCCGTTAGGGATTTAGTATCATACCATCATAAAATATATTGAGTAGAACATAACCCGTATCATGCCAACAACTGGTTTTAAAACAAATGTGTTTATTTCCGATGCAAAGACCCTATGAGTGAATCAATATTAATACCAAAATATGCCATCTTTAATGACCTGACAACAGTATCGTAACTATATCCCTTCTGAATAAGTCTGTTTAAAGGTTTGTTTAGCTTTTGAGGAAGATTGGATGTGAAATACCTGAACGTATAAGACGTCTGCATGTTGATTTATATTTACGAATGATGTCCTTGTACCGATGATAAAATTTAGTAAATGTTTTGACTAGTTTGTGATATCGAAAACCCTGGTGTAATAATCTTTCAATATTACAGAGGTTTCTTTCGTTAAAATCAAATACGTTGTTACATACACGAGCGAATCGAACAAGTTGAGATATATAAACACCATAAGATGGTGACAAGGGAACGTCACCATCTAAAAATGGATAATTAACAATAGGAAATGAAAAATCATCTCTTTTATCATAAATTTTGGTATTAAGCTTCCCAGTTAAAGATATAGATATCAAGATCCAGGAAAAGGCAGTGTTCATTGTGAGTATTGGCTTTATTTAAAGTCAGTTCAGCAGGATAAATCTCTTGAAGTCGTCATTATTGAGAGCCAATATATCTAAAAGCGTTACTAAATTTTTGTATCAGATGTTGTTTCGATGGGTCTTTGCTGATTTTAGTCATAAATTGTAACTCATAACAATACAGAAACAGGTCCGCAATAAGTGGTGCACAGTTAGTCCCCATTGGAATTCCGTTAACTTGACGATATACGGAATCTCCACAGCGAATAAAAATGTTATCTAGTAAAAATTCAAGGGCAGTAATCGTATCAAAGCAGGTCCAATTGACATAGTTCTTTTGTCTGTTGTTACTAAAAAATGACCTTAAAGAGTTAGAACATATATATTCGCATTCTGACTTTTTAAATGCCCATTTAATTAGGTGTGTGAATTTTATCTTAATAAGATTATGAGGCAAAGTGGTATATAGGGTAGAAAAATCAAAACTTTGAACAGATTCAAAATAACCAATATAAGCATGCAATTTATCAAGTACATCCAACGAATTTTTATACGACCGCAAAAAAATTTTGTGGTCGTATATTAGTATGACGTTGGCGTCGTCGTCGTCGTCGTCGTCGTCGTCCGAAGACACATTGGTTTTCGCACTCTAACTTTAGTTTAAGTGAATGGATCTCTATGAAATTTTACCATAAGGTTCAATACCACAAAAGGAAGGTGGGGATTGATTTTGGGGGATATGGTACCAACAGTTAAGGAATTAGGGGCCAAAAGGGGCCAACAATTAGCATTTTTGTAACTTCCAGACATAACTTGTGTGTTAGTGTATGGATCTCTCTGACATTGTTCCACAAGGTTTCATATCACAAAGGGAATGCTGGGATTGATTTTGGGGGTAATTGTCTCCAAATTTTAGGAATTGGGGGCCAAAAAGGGGAAAAAAACCAGCATTTTTCTAGTTTCCAGACAATAACTTGTGTTCAAGTGTATGGATCTCTCTGAAATTGTACTGCAAGGTACCATAGCACAAAGGGAAGGCTGGGATTAATTTATTGGGTAATTCCCTCAAAATTTTAGGAATTAGGGGCCATAAAGGGGCAAAAAAAACAAGCATTTTTCTAGTTTCAGGACAATAACTTGTGTGTCAGTGTATAGATCTTTATGAAATTGTACTGCAAGGTTCCATATCACAAAGGGAAAGCTGGGTTTGAGTTGGGGGTAATTGCCCTTAACGTTTATGAATTTGGGGCCAAAAAAGGGCCAAAAAACAAGCATTTTTCTAGTTTCCAGACAATAACTTGTGTTCAAGTGTATGGATCTCTCTGAAATTGTACTGCAAGGTACCATACCACAAAGGGAAGGCTGGGATTTAGTTTGGGGGTGATGAATCATAAGGGGGTTCAAAAAATTTGGGGGGGGGATTTTTTTCCTTTTTTTTTCTTTAAAATTTTCCATTTTAAATTGGTTATTTCTGATTTATATATAAAAGCAAATAATAATAATATGGTTTGAATTGGGAAATTAAAATTTTTTTAGTTCTTAGACCACATTCATTCTGTGTCAGAAACCTATGCTGTGTCAAATATGTAATTACAATCCAAATTCAGTGCTGTATCAAGCTTGAATGTTGTGTCCATACTTGCCCCAACTGTTCAGGGTTCGATCTATGCGGTCGTATCAAGCTGCGCCCCAGCGGAGCATTTTATTAACACTCCAAACGTAATTAATTCCACTATTTTCAAATGCCTTATTTGAACAATTTATTACCAGGTTTTTGATTGTCCCATGTGTACTAGTACGTAGAATAGACGGGTTAGTAGTGGAACAATGGCTGTAATGGCGTTAACATGATGTGCAGTTCACATATTTCTAGGAAATTACTTCTGACAATAAGGAAAACAATGGTTAAGGTAGATTCATGGTATACCGCCATCTTGGATTGTACTATCGCAGTACACTATCACTCTAGTTATTTGCCCTAATCTGCAAATTTGTAGACAGATGTGCAAATTTATTGATTAGACAGTTTATATATATGAAGAAAACTTGCTGATTTATTGCATTATCCAAAATATTTAAACAAATACCAAACATTTGTGTTTTAGAATAAATTGTTTCAACTAATCAATTTTAGGGGAGATAACTCTTTTAGTAAAAATTTATACTGGACTGATAGGGAAATTTTTTATTTTTACTTGTAGCAAGAAAACAAGTTCGGTGACACCATTTTTTCTTTTTATTTTCTTAAAACATATTATAAAACCTATCTTCTCACAATTTATTTTAAAATTCTATCTCATAGATTTCTTTTTATGCACAAAAATGTGTTTTTTCATGATCATTCTAACCAAATTTAGGCAATTTTCAACGACTCATAGCTTGAAAAATAGCACGGTGACCCATCCGTTTTATTATATTTTTGAAAAGAGCATAGTAAAATCTTCATTTTGGCAAAGTATAAGAAAATTCTGTCTCGGGAAACATATACCTATGATCTACCTTAAGTATTCCCTATGGCTGTCAAGCTCTTTAACTAAGTAATTGACTTCGAAATCAGTATTGTTTCATAAACAAGTTTCATTTATAGTCACACAGGTTGTTCTTTTTTTAATTATTTAATGTAAGATAATTATATCCCGATCTTTATCCAAAAATTTGAAACTTCATCTTTTACCTACAGATAATTATATTTTTGGAACATCTCCGTAAATATAAATACTGTTTTGTTTCTTGCACAGCACTGTTTTCATCGGTTGTCCCAATTTCAATGATCGGATCTAACGCGTTTTTAAATATTCGGTTAACAAATATTTATCGTTTGTTTGTCTATTTATCATTAATTTACAACATATGCTTTTACAACTGTTTGATTTTAAACACGTCTTTCTCATTTATACTCAAAATTGAAGAAAAAAAAACATTCCAAAATAAACACACTAAACCACATAACGTAAAAATATCCCAACAGTCCAAATATATTATCATGAATATTCTTTTTCCATTTCAGGCAAGGTTTAGATAAATACTATTCTATATCATACCTATGGATAAATGTTTTGGGACAAGCATTTACTTTATTTTTTGGGATCATAGCAAGCCTTATTGAAGGTAAAGACATAATTTAGATTCTTTTTCCTTGAGGGTATGACTTTCAGGGCATATTTGGAGGATGAATGTGCCTCTTAATGAAAACCCAACACGAAGACAACTGGAAAAGAATTTAAACATATACAACGACCTACCCTAAAAGTTCCAAAAACGCAAACGGACAATGAAAAACCTTTAGTCGAAGAAAATTAAGACAACAGTAGTTTACCGATGTTCATATCTCGTAAAATCGATTAAGAGGATAACAAAGAAAAACTGACGTAATCACATGAACCAAAAAAAAAAAGAAGAGAGACACAGTAAAGGCAGTTATTTTAAACTTAGCAATTGATAATCAAACCATTTCATTTGGCATTAACCACATTTAAAAAAAAAACAAAAAAAAAACGTACTGGTTTAAAATACTCTCAATTACCGAAGACTAGTAGATTTATTGCGAAATCGGAAACTTTTTCTTAACTGTGGTGTTGATTTTAAAAAAATCTCACAATGGATTTAATGTAAAATATCTTAATATATTTTAAAAAAAGTAATAGTTTTTACAACAATGCTTAAAGATTAGCAGTTACAGAAGTAAAGACCGACTATTATGATAAGAAAATACTGCTAATATTAGAATAAATGTTTAATTTATGTGTAAACCTTTTGTTAAGAAAAATCAATGGTACCTAAAATCCTACCATTTATATATAGAAATAGAAAAAAGAAACGTAGAAGACCTCTGGTGTGAACAGAACAAAAATATTAGTTTCAAGATACATTTACTGGAACTTATGAAATTTACATTTGACAAGACAAAGAAAAAGAAAAACATTATAAGTAGTGAATTGTTGTATGTATATCAGCAACTTTTGTTAGCGACTTGGAAGTTGAAATGGAAACTTTAGCGGAATACATTAAAGTTTTGTATCTTTTAAAGGTGTACCATCATCCGAATCTGTAGATGTGAGATTTGTTTTACCATTTTTTGACCAATTCTTTCCTTGTATCCCAAAACGAATTAGGAAAAGACTTTATTTTGGAGTTCCTTTTGATAAGGTAAGATTATATAAGATGGAAGTCGTACATGAAGTTCTTGACAACAACTTGTATAATTATATCCACCTTAAACTTATAAAGTTCACTAAAATTTAAATGTTTAAACGTCTACTTTTCTACATTGTTGTATTGAAATTGAAAGTCACGTGATAATCTGCTAAAAGTCGAGCATCGCATTAAGTCGAAAGTGGTTCAAAAGTCGTAATATATACCCGTAATATCTCAATAAACAAATGAATACCTAAAATCAGGGCGGAAAGCCCGAAGGATGCTGGAAATGGAGCTGAATGTTTGATTTTCATAGAATTTCTAATACCTATAGCTGTTATTAGTTAAATGACAGTCGGAACACAAATATGTGTGATCTGTGACGAATTTATACCAAACAGAAGCTAGCTATCTGTCATTTTTAAAATGCTAACACAGGAGAAACATTTCTATTTAAGGATTTATTCTTCTGATGTTTCAGTCTCGTTGAAATCTCGTTCGGGAATTATTTCCAAAACGTGATAGAAGTCGAAAATATCAATGAATTTAAATAATGTTATAATCAAACTAAACTCTGTGAAAAAATTGTGTACTTACAATTAGTAGTTTTTGAGTAATAAAATTTTCAAATTTTATAACCAATCCGGTCAGTCTCATCAACCATAATGTTGGGAAAATGGGTGAGGGGTACAAAGAAATGATTTTACCAAAAATATGTACAGCCCATATCATTTTTTTCTTTTCAAAATTCTTAGATATGTATTTTTCAATCATTTATAATAATAGAAGTTGAAATAATATGGTTTTTGTTCTAAAAAAAAAGAGAAAATCCCAAATTTACAAAATTGACAGCATGGTCAATTTGACACGAAAAAGCAAAAAATTTTATAAAACTTTCTAATATTAAGGTAATAATTAGAATTTTTTAATAATTTGTCAAAATGTAGTTTTTATCATGCTTTTTCCAAAATATAATAAAAAGTATGGGTCACCTGACTTTTTTTCACGCTACATGTTGTGCAAAATTCTCAGATTTCGTATAGATTATGCATGGAAAATTCAATTTTGTGTGATAAAAAGAAAACTACACCATAGAAGTTTAAGATAAAATGTGAGAAGATAGCTCTTATAACATACTTTCAGATAAGAAAAAGAAAAAATGGGGTCACCGGACTTGTTTTCTTGCTACATATTAAAATAAGTAAATTCACAAAACTTTCTATTATAAAAATTACTTTATCTGAGTTATCTCCCCTTATGTGGCAAAGTTGAAAAAAAATGAATCAAACAAAAATATTGTTTTTTTTAAGAAAATACAGCAGTAAATATGATAAAAGACATAATTTTCTATATAAACATAAAAAGTCTTACACATGAATTACACACTACTCTCAAAATTTGCACATTTCATTAAAGATCTAGACCAATTGTTATCTGCTACTTCAAAATCCAAGATGGAGGAATACCCCCCAGCCAACTTTAAATTCTATCTATAGTTTTTTTTTAAAGTAAGATTTATTCAGATGCATCCACTTCATCTTTAGTGAAAGTATGAAGAAAAGTTTAATTGTGATTTTTTTCATGATAATAGCCCCAAAACGGGTAAAAATTTATGAAAAATGGGAAATATTAAAATTTGGTACTTTGAAAATGTTACCTTAGTAAAAAAAGAAGTGCATCACCATATGATTTTTTCTTCATCAATTACTTTCTTAAAGTCATATAAACCCAAATATCAGGTTAAGAAAAAAATTTTAATTCTAGAAATTTTTGGCTCCTCAGAGGTGTACATCCTTAAATTATGTATTGAAGACTTGATATTGAAAAGAAGTCTATAATTATGTTATTACAGTATAAAATAAAAAGGTAAAACAACAAAAATACCGGACTTCAAGGAAAATTGGTACAAAACGGATAGTCCCTTAACAATTGGCAAAATCAAAAGCTCAAACACATCAAACGAATGGAAAACAACTGTCATATTCCTGACTTGGCACATGCATTTCCTTATGTAGAAAACGGTGGATTAAACCTGGTTTTAAAGCTAGCTAAACCTCTCACTTGTATGACAGTCGCATAAAATTCCATTATATTGCCAACAATGTGTGAACAAAACAAACAGACATAATAGGTAAAAATGTCAAAAATAGGGGTACAGCAGTCAACATTGTGTTCTAATCACAATCACTATAAAACAACCAAATATGTCAACAAAGAAAAGCAAATTGGCGTATAGACAAAGCACATACGCAAAAATGAAACACAAGAATACAAAAAATGACCACAGCACAACAACACAATGGCGGGATGTACAAGTACCGAGCCACGCCTAAAGGATATTACCAAAATCGGACAAACAGTAAACGTTAATAATTTACAAAGACAAATAAAAGAACACTATAACAGGTAATTAAGATGATAAACAACGTCAATACCTAGAATCAAGACCATCATGTATTATTTGTGAAGTTGATAAGGAATATTTATCAACAAAGTCTTGGTATCTTCCGATGAACTTTTTTAGAAAAAGGACGAGACGTTCTTTGACATAACCACGGTTCGTCAAATTTCTGCCCAAACACTGGTGACGTTTTACAAAGTCTGAGTAGCAGCTGCAAGCTCTTGAATACCGAAATGTTGGGAAATGTTTATCCCATATGCAGGTGAAGTTGGTAAATTGCTACTAAGGCGGGAGAAATTGATAATTTCAAAATTAAAATCGTCTCGTTTGTCATAGATTCTGGTACTGAGATGACCGTTTATGTCAAATTCGAGGTATAAGTCTAAGGCGGAGGAAGGCGTATCTGTTGTTTCCTTAATGTCTAGTTCTGGAGGATATATTAATGGAACCCAATCAGAAAAGTTTTGATGTTTATGGAAAGAACATCATCAATATATCTGAATATAAAATTAAATGATCTGGCTTCTTTGATCTTCTTGTTTTTGACAAGTGTCTGAAGGAACTCCGACTCTTATGAAAATAAGAAGAAGTCGGCAAGGAGAGGCGCACAAAAGACGATGAAAATAACTTTGAATAGGACATTGACATTTTAGATTTACCACCAACGAAATCTAAACCAGTTGGGAGAGCCGATTGACTGATCCAATAGTCCTACACTTACTGCTCCGTTAAATGATGGATTTACAATTTGTGTCGGGTTGATAAATTATATACTAGTATTATATTAAACATACCTATCCAAAGGTCAAATTTATGACAAAAGGGAAAACTATAGCAAAAGGATATTCAGATGGAATGATAATAAAGAAATCCACGGCATGATATCCAAAAAGATGTATGGGCGAGTTATTTTTCTGGATTTACCTTCACCAGAAATGCTCAAACCACCAAACAAAATCAAAACCAGGGATGATGAATAACTAAACTCGCCAGGAGCTATATGATCAAAACTCAGTTAGGCATTGACAATTGCATCCTATGATATTTCCTTATTTTAAGACACAGTATAAGTATTGATTATATTACAAAGCTTGTTTTAGTTTACTATGTGTTTAAGAAGAGATAATTAAATAAAAGTGTATGCGCCGATAAGAAGTGACGGGTGACAGTCTCTTACTCATTTGAATAGCTCAGCTGGCACTTCGGACCGCGTGAGCTGAACATTTTTATATGACGACATGACGTTTAACTATGGTATATTTATTTAATTGCAGAGAGAAATTATGTTGGAAACGTATGGTAAAGACGAAACAGACGTGGCTACACTGAATAATCTTGGAAAAAAGAATGAATCTTCAAAAATAGAACTGTTATCTTTTCAAAAGGAAGATAAGTTTCGTACAGATGAAGAAAAAACGGTCATTTAAGTTTGATTTATACGAGTTCAGACTCAACGTAACCCCATGGTTCTTCTCACAAGACAGATATTTTGTATACACATAATAATAAAAGTGCATAATATACATTCAATTCTATAGAGTAGTTTAATACAAAATTTCAATCCTGCTATCTATGATGAGTTTATTTGTATGTGTGTTTGTGTGTGTGGTTTTATAATGCATGAACAAAATGACTGTGTCACTTCAGATCACTCATGATGAACTGGGTTAATTTTTTAACCCAAAAACAAACAAATAAAAGTTTTACAACTTCTAGAACTATATAGTGTACTGTTCTTATTTTGTCCAAGTTGGAAAGGGACATACTATTTCTTTGAAAAGTTGTTATCTGTGTTTTTATTACTAGCATGCATTTGTTAGTGTTGTCAAATCAACTGTAAGTTTTACAAGAAACATATTGATTTGCCACTGGCTAAATCGTAGTTTTTGAGAGATTACCTCACTTCTTTATAGTAGATCCAATAAAATGAAAAATGTGAATAACGTCGGAATATCAACTTATATTAATACATGATATTTCCCTCTTTTATGCTACTTTAAAAGAACTTGCATATCGAGACATCCGGAACATTTCATCGACTTGAAAAATAACGACTTTACGTGTGTTGTCGCGAGCGTAACAAATTTCTTTTTCGAGTGTTACAGCCTTCTATCGGAAAGTTTGTTTCCTATGTTCACTTTAAAATTTAAGTTTTACTCTTTTTCAAACAGCATTTATCATTAATGACCTTGTTGTTCGCCATTAACGATTTGAAAAAAATAACGAATGCAAAACAGTTAATCCCATTGAACTATTGGACCTTTGGTCTGCAAACATTCTCATACATTTAGTTAATCATTTCAAAATTCAATTAAAGAACACAACAGGCAGGTTTGTTTGGGTACATAAATCTTTAATATACACTTTCACTCATAGGGTTGACTAAAAACTATTTTTTTTAGTAGTATGTAAATATAATTAGTTTTTCAACCAATTTGCATGATAAGTAATGCCAACCATTATTCTTGTTATAAATGAGAGATCCTTACATGTAAGCGTAAAATTAGTTCCATGTTGAATTCCTTAATAACAGTTGATACGGTTACCTTGAGTTATATGACTACGTTATATTTATCAACAATACTCATGATATCAATAGAAGTTTTAGATATGTTCCATTGGTCCATGATATTGTCATTTCGGCAGAGCGGATATGCTGTCTGGAGTTGTTTAATCTAATACAGCTAGCTAATTTTAAGGGAATCTTCAAGTTGTTTATGTGATTGTCCTGGTTGTTTATGGACAGTTTCGAGAGGCTGGAATTTGATCAAAAATTGATATTTTGCGTATGTTTGTATAGGGAAAAAAGTAGTATTACATTTTCCCGGTTTTAGGTTGGCTTTTCGTGTAAACATTTATTGTAAAAAGAAGGTGGGCATGGATATATTAAACAAACTCCGTTCGAAGATGGTCATGATACCATTTGGATTCAATTTTTAAAACAGTACTAATATAACACATAACTGTTTTGTCCAGGTTTTTATTATAAAAAAAATTGAAGATGTTAGTATTGTCGAATATGATAGAATAAATACTACCGCTTTTCCTTTAAATGTCACAGTATAGATTTTTCTTATGTCTGCGGAACCGGTATAGATGTTCCTGTGTTCAATGGAAAACTTAATGTCCTGTTTGTCCTACATACTAATATTGAATAAATTTAAATGAATAGCTAGTGCCATGCATACAATGAAACATAGTATATTTCCTGGGAATAAAAAAAGCAAATCGGACATGGGAAATAGTTTGCAAAAGTTTCAGACAAAAAGCAAATTTATCAATCTTAAAGATTTGACTGAGAAATTCTTGTCTTGTGTAAAGGGTAGAGAAGCCATTTGTTTTTATACTATTGCATGATGAGAGGGACTTAGATTATATGCACTCTAAGAAAAGAGTGATAACAAACAAAATGGAAGCAGTGCTATAATACATGACTTAGTTACCGGACTTATAGCCTAACTACGGTCACATGAAGTGCTTTACAATAGATACTGTCTTCAACAGATTTAAACTCAAAGATTTGTTAAATTAAATTGGTTAACGACAAAAAATCTTTATTACGATTTTATCAATTTTAAAGGTTAAAAAAGTTCGTTGTGTTACCAATTGTGAGACAAACAAGCATTTTTTTCAAACGTCTTTATGTCACATATTACTGCATTTCCAGATTTCAAATGTTCAAAATAGATATAAGAAGATGTGGTATGAGTGCCAATGAGACAACTCTCCATTCAAGTCACAATTTGTAAAAGTAAACCATTATAGGTCAAAGTATGGCCTTCAACACGGAGCCTTGGCTCACATCGAACAGCAAGCTATAAAGGGCCACAAAATGACTAGTGTAAAACCATTCAAACAGGAAAACCAACGGTCTAATCTATATAAAAAACGAGAACGAGAAACACTTATGAACCACATCAACAAACGACAACCACTGTGCATCAGGTTCCTGACTTAGGACAGGTGCAAACAAATGCAGCGGGTTTAAACGTTTTAATAGGCGCCAACCTTCACTCTACCTGAAACAATAGTGTAACATCACAACATAGAAAGACACACTATAAAATATCAATTGAAATGGCTTAACTCAATCAAAAGAGATTAACTAGAACAACTGAACATACACTGAATGAATAAATTTGATCAATGACACAATGTAAATACAAAATTAATAGCTTACTTTTGCTGTTGTTGAATGACGATTAATGGAAGTTAGTAGATACATACACTATATTCCAACGATTAAAATTCTGATTGAATTTCCCGATCAACTGGATATAAGTACGAGGTCTATTTGATTGACTTTCATTGAAAACAATAATGACCCGTCATTTGTAACCAAAGCGCCGACTAAGCATGATGTTCAATGATTGAACTTATAATATATTTGATTTATTTGTAGGAATGGTCAAACGTTGTCACGAACATTGTCTATTTTGATTTATTCATTTTGAAATTGGCCAAGCCATGATCAATTTAAAATATTTCTCGATTTATATGTCGTAAAATTGTACATTATGATACAGTGGCTTCCCGTTATGTAAGTTGGACAGACCCTATTTTTATTCACGAAAAGAGTTATGGATGCCTTGGGATTATTAAGTAAACTAACTTTTAGACTACAATCAAGATACCAGTAGTGTGACTGTTGAACAGTATCCATCGAAAAATAAATAACTTTATATACAAATTACACCCTTCTAGGTCAAACAAAAACACAAAATATAACAAAGTTCAGTATTAACACAACAGTCAAAAATTACAAGAATAAACATAAAACAAAAATATAGTCATGATAATGTAACTTTTGATGGACATGGATCTCTATCTCAGTATAGACGTTATTTGATGTCTGTTTAAATTTCATTTTTGAGGAATATTTAATCTATCATAAGTTTCAAAATCTGCAGCATCTAATACTGTCTCTTAATAAAAGGCCTCATCAAAACACCCATAAAAAGACAAAGGCATCTAAATAACAGAAAACGCTGACAGATAAATCTAAGATAATACCAAATCATATTAACATCGTAATAACATAACCTTCAAAAGGTCACCATATTCTATTCCACAGTTTTGTATGAAAAAAGTCTAAGTTTACTTGAGGGAGTTTCGATCTTAGTTTTAGTTAATTTTTGGTGTAGGGCATCAATGAAGAGACATTATGTATCGAAATGCATATCTAGTCCAATACAATTGGTACCGTTGATGATATTACTACAACTGGGTCTATACCTATGTTAGTGGATTGTTAGTCCCCGGGAGTATCACCAGCCTAGTAACCAGTACTTCGGTACTGGCATCAAAATACGGATATTATTCTATTTAAATTTACTGTTATAAAATTTTGAAATGATTTAAAATTAAGGAATGTAGCTCCCTCATTCATAGCTCTGATTCTTTGGCTTTATTTTTTGGTCCTTTTTTATTTATCAGCTCTTCTATGTTTGTATAATGTTTTGGGCTTTCAAATATTTTGACCTCGAGCACCACTGAAGCCAGACGTTGAGACGTTAACTATCGAAATGCGCTTCTGGTGCGATAAAGTTGGTACCATTGATGTTATTATACAGTAGCACAGGCTTCTAAACAGTTGATTACTCATGTGACTGACACTCCATCAGCATTGGTACCAGTCCAGTGAATAGTACAAATGTATCATACCGATTCCAGTGCTTTTAGAACAGTGTCTGGATAAGTGACACCTTTAGAACAGACGCTGGTCTACCCTAGTTACGAACATATTCGCAGTTCATTTCCTTTACTTTTTATCTAAAATATGCATTTCCTAAATTTCCAGCTAACTGGCCCTGACTTCGTCATCAACTCGATAATGATCAAGGAACAGCTTTAATTTACGTCATAAAGAACTGTTCTACCCTAGAAAATATTCTGACAGTTCTACCCTAGAAAATATTCTGACAGTTCTTCCCTAGAACAGATTTAAAAGTTCTGCCAGTTCTGTTTTGTTAGCAGTTCATATAATTATCCGAACACACACACTACCGTATAATGTTACAAGCACATACTAGTAATATAATGACTAGACTACATCATATAGAGATATTGGCAAAACGCACATAAATTAAGGCAGCGTCCTGTTAATACAAAGCAGGGCGTACATAATCAAGACATCTGTACATCATATAAAGATATAAAGACATTTGCAAATCATATAATGCCATATGGACCAATAAAAAGGTTATTGCACATCATATAATGCCAAATGGACCAACAAAAAGGTTTTTGCGCATCATATTATGTCTAATGGACTAATAAAAAGGTTATTGCACATCATATAATGTCAAATGGACCAATACATAGGTTATTGCACATCCTAAAATGTCAAATGGACCAATAAATAGGTTATTGCACATCATATAATGACAAGAACACAACATCATTTAAAAACAAAAGCACATAAAACAAGGTCAAAATCATATCATAGAATGGGTTAGGCACACCATGTTATCAACTATGGTTACCACATATAAAGGTGATTGCACGTCATACAATGTCAAAAGCACATCACCTATTGTAGCTTCGCAATCATATAAAAGTGATTGCTAGTCATATGATGTCAAGAACACGTCACATGTTGTAGCTTCGCAATCATATAAAGGTGATTGCATGTCATAGAATGTCAAGGGCACATCACATATTGTAGCTTCACCATCATATAAAGGTGGTTGCACATCATATAATGTCAAGTACACATCACATATTGTAGCTTCACCATCATATAAAGGTAATTGTACGTCATATAATGTCAAGAACACATCGCATATTGTAGCTTCACCATCATATAGGTGTTTGCACGTCATTTAATGTCAAGAGCACATCACCTATTGTAGCTTCACATCATATAAAGGTGATTGCACGTCATATAATGTCAAGAACACATCACATGTTGTAGCTTCGCAATCATATAAAGGTGATTGCATGTCATAGAATGTCAAGGGCACATCACATATTGTAGCTTCACCATCATATAAAGGTGGTTGTGCATCATATAATGTCAAGAACACATCACATATTGTAGCTTCACCATCATATAAATAAAATTGAGAATGGAAATGGGGAATGTGTCAAAGAGACAACAACCCAACCATAGAGCAGACAACAGCCGAAGGCCACCAATTGTGATTGTACGTCATATAATGTCAAGAACACATCGCATATTGTAGCTTCACCATCATAAAGGTGTTTGTACGTCATTTAATGTCAAGAGCACATCACCTATTGTAGCTTCACATCATATAAAGGTGATTGCATGTCATATAATGTCAAGAACACATCACCTATTGTATCTTGGACATCATATAAAGGTGATTGTACTTCATATAATGTCAAGAATACATCTCATATTGTAATTTCATCTTATGGAGCAACAATATCATTTTAAGAAAAATCTATTGGTTAGTTTAGTTCGGTTCATAATTTTCGTCTTTGTGTGTAAATCTTGTTACACAAACTGCTTGATAAATGAATTGGGTATTGACAATTCACTTGATAGCTCAAAATATACCCCAACGACACTTACCAAGGAGGAAATCTTGGATAAGCAATATGTACATTATCAAGATGCTTAAATTCTTTATTAACAATATATTTGTTACGTTTGGATGACGTGTTTTTCAACTAACAATCGGTATTACATGGGAACCGACTGGGCTCCTCTTCTTGCCGACTTGTTTCTTTATTTACTTGTATATGGGACTGACTTCACACAGGAGCTTCTTAAAAACAATGAAAAGAAGTCAGCATTATCCTTTAACTTCATGTTCCACTATAAAGCTGATGTCCTCTCACTAAATAATTCATAGTTTGGTGACTATGTTGAACGCATCGATTCCATCGAACTTGAAATAAAGGATACAGATACAATGTACAGATACGTCTGCTTCATATCGTTATCACTTACATATAGACATTAAAAATGAGGGTCAGTTGAGAACAAAACTTAACGACAAAAGGGATGATTTCAGCTACCCAATTGTGAAATTTCATTTCTATGTAGCAACATTCCAGCAGCGCCTGCATATGGAGTATATATCTTTCATTTGATACGATATTCCAGGGCTTGTATTTCCTATCATGATTTCCTTGGAAGAGGGTTGCTTCTCACAAGGAAGCTATTAAACAAAGAGTTCAAAGTGGTGAAGTTGAAATCATCCCTTCCAGAATTTTACGGAAACCATCACGAATCGGTTGACCGTTTTGGAATACCTGTTTTACAGATGACGACGGATATGTTTCAATCGTCGTAAGAAAAATTTCGTCCTCTTTTTTCTCCCCGAATAAGACTTGTCATCGGGTTTGTACATGAGCAACACGACGGGTGACACATGTGGAGCAGAATATGCTTACCCTTCCGGAGCACCTGAGATGACGCCTGTTTTTTGGTGGGGTTCGTGTTGCTCAGTTATAAGTTTTCTATTTTGTGTTTTGTATACTGTGGTCTTTGGTCTTTTTCCTTTTTTGCCATGGCGCTGTCGGTTTGTTTTCGACTTATGAGTTTGAATGTCACTTTGGTATCTTTCGCCTCTCTTTAGGAAGAGTTGATAATTTTCAGATAATTTTGAGAAACGTTTCACCGATTTTACACGCATTTTAGGATACGAATGTATATCTATTTCAAAGAAATCATTCTATTACATTTCTCAAATAAAAACACATATAAAAAGAGATGCATTATTGTTTTCGATTTTTCTTCTAGTTTTTATATGCTGAAATTATATGCAAAATCTGTGTTAGGACCCTTTTACTGTAACTTGATATGATTTTTTTTTAAATCAGACAACCTATGAAACTCTGAGGTCAAAATCGTGACGATGCATTCATATGAATAGAAACGTAAGTAGATATGATTTTCTTTATTTCCAATCACGTTTTGGTGAAAGCAATATTTTTGTCAATAGGCTAAAAAAATCTTACTACTTATTACCACAAATTTAAAATTTAGATAATAAAAATGGATTAATTATCATCTGTATGTCCCGTGTTAAATTTGCAGTTAAATTTGACGTATATATGAGTCATATACATATATATTGTTTTTTGTTTTATTAAAGTCAATATGAGTTTGATCTATTTATTTTTTCAAGAATCTATATTATATACTATAAACCAAGGGCTTTACAGTCAAGTTGTATTGTGATATTGTTAAATTCTATGCTAATCAATATTGTAAATATACTTGTGAGTCAGGACAAAAAATGCAGATATAAACACCATAAAATCAACCCTGCCGTATATTGAACTGAAGGGACGGGTCAGTTGATAATTGGTCAGGCGTTCGTTTATATAAACAGATTACCCGGTCAATAAAGTAAAGTCCAGTTACTGTCCGCATTTATTTATCACTCGACCTGTCAATATTGTGTTTAACATTTGAGAAGCAAATAAGCAATTTCTCAATTAAAAATACAAAATTTATTTTCCCTATTAATCCAGTTTCCTGAAATGTGTAGCTATTACCAAGTCCAAAGCCTTGATTGTAGATCATCATACAATAAAAATACACTAAAAATGTAATACACAACGAGGCGTGTTAAGAGGAAAATAGTAATTTAATATTCATGTAAATACGAATACAAACGACTTTAACTGTAATGGCGGAGACAGCTGAAAGTAAACAACGAGTATGTTTGGTAGCTATTGATGGAAGTAAGCACGCAGAGACAGCTGTGAAATGTAAGTGAGCTCAGTCCAAACTATAAAAAAAGCGTTACTATAAATGATATTTTATGAATGAACGCAAGGATCTACAACTAATTTAAACACTTCTGTTCACATGTATATATATATAGTTGTCACTTTCCTTATGCTCGAGACAAGATCATGAATTCACTCTTATTATACTCGTGCATCACTGAAATCACCGGTACGAGACGAGATTTATTTTTATTCGACTTATACACACTGACGTTCAATGTGCTAAATCAGGAATTAATAGACCTTACTTTAGGATAAGTAATCCAAGTACATTTAATGACACCATGGCTTATTAAATGAAATAAATAAATGTGTATCGTCTGGAATCTTCTTTTCAAAGGTCCTTCATAAGTTCCTAGCAAAATCTTACATTTGGCATAACATGCAGAAAATTTCCAATGCTTTATGATGGGACTTCTTTAAACTTCAGTAGTCCGAAACTTTCGTGCATTGTAATGTCGTGTTAACAGGAGAACCATTAATTACAGGGCGTACGAATTTGGAAAATTTTCCTACTTCGAATTCGGAATTACAAATTTAATATATTATCAAAAATAAAACATATTTCAATTTGCAGGGTTCAAAGACAACATTTACAAGGAAGGGGACCATGTTTTACTTGTACACGCAATTGACCACAGACACAGTATGGCGTATGGTTGTAAGTAGGACATTAAATCAAATATTTTCCGTTTTTATACGACCGCAAAAAATTTGCGTTCGTATATTGCTATCATGTCGTCTCGTCGTCGTCGTCGTCGTCGTCGTCCGAAGACATTTGGTTTCCGGACAATAACTTTAGTATAAGTGAATGGATCTCTATGAAATTTAACCACAAGGTTCAATAGCACAAAAGGAAGGTTGGGATTGATTTTGGGAGTTATGGTCCCAAATGTTTAGGAATCAGGGGTCAAAAAGGGGCCAAAAAAGGCATTTTTCTAGTTTTCGGACAATAACTTGTGTATAAGTACATATGGATCTCTATGAAATTGATACCACACACAGAAGGTTGGGGTCGATTTTGTGGGTTGTGGCTTTAATCGTTAAGAAACTAGAGGCCAAATGGGGGCCAAAACAAGACTTTTCTAATACTGGCTAAGCTGGTTCTAACATAAATTATTTCTGATCTATATAAAGAAACAACAAATACTTATATGGCAGGAGATACACACCAAACAGGGTGTGTAAATTGTTATATTTAGTTTGTAAACAAATTTACTAAGTATTTCGCAACAGCAAAGTATTGCACAACAGCAAGAAATCTTCAATTGAAAATAAATACAAATCTTTTAACCAATTTCTATGAGGATTGATTTAAAGTCTTGAATTGTTTGAGGTTTTTACCATGACATATTACTATATTGGATATTTGGACACTTTTAAATAGGTCTACATTGAGGTCCAAAGGGTCCAAAATTAGACTTTGTTTGATTTCATCAAAAACTGAATTCTTGTGGTTCTATAATATGCTGAATCTAACTGTGCATTTAGATTTTTTATTTTGGGCCCTGTTTTCAAATTAGTCCATATTAAGGTTCAAAGGGTCCAAAATTAAACTTTGAATTCATGGGTTTTTTTGTATGCTGAATCTAACCATGGAATTAGATTTTGGATATTGGACCATTAAGTAGATAAAATGTCCCATTTCAAATTTTAAGTTATCTGACCACATTTATTCTGTGTTAGAAATCTATAATGTGTCAAATATTTAATCACAATATTGTGTCCATACTTGCCCCAACTGTTCAGAGTTCGACCTCTGCGGTCGTATCCAGCTGCCTCAAGCGGAGCGCATTTTCAGGGATTGATTTACTACTGCTGCTCAAGAAAGCAAACAAAGATCAAAAACACACTCCTAACAAGTCGCATTATAAAATGTCGGTGAAATCGTCAGTGTTTGTGATTCGTCAATAAGTATTTAAACTCGTCAGACATCACTACTGCTTATCTTAATAATGCCTTTTTTCCTTTTGACCATAAAGTCTGTCCTTCTTAAACTTTTTTAATACATGTTTTGGCAAGGTATCGATTATGTAGGGCTGTTACTCATATCTGTAACAAATATATGCATATAGCTAGAAAAGGAAATTGAAAAAAGAGTCATTTCATGAATTCAGTTGTTTTCAAATGCAAATAATTTTGCAAAATGAATGAGATAATAAATTGAAGTAAATTGCATAGACAACATAAAGTAAAACTATCACAACGTCACAGCAAAACTAGTTTTCTCAGTATAAAATCATGTTGTACTCCCCATTTGTGCTTTCTATGTATAGCAGGTTTAGATTAAATAGAAAATATCAAATATAATGACACCTTATATAAGAATGCCGGATTTTGATTGGTTGTTAGTCAGTGTATTTTTCGCATATTCTAACATTTTTTTCCTCATTTCAAACGAATTTGCCTGTTTTTTCACCACTGCCGGTGAATTTGCCTCAAATTTCCCTCTCTGTCGTGGTATTTGCCATTTTGGATATTCCTTTTTTACCCTCGCGAGCCTGTTCCCGCCAAAATTATTCGGAACCTTTCTCACTTTATCACGACAACATGGTTAAGCACTATTGATTTGGTTAAACCGAAAACTGTCAGAAATATACATATAAAGAGGGGGGGGGAAATGTCTATACAAATGAACGATTTTAATGATGGAATAACAATGACGTTTATGTAACAGTGGTTTGATTCCGCCAGTGTACTTTATCCGGAGGAAGAAAATCCCCAGTGATTTTTATCCACCAACAAAAATTCACCAGGTTTTTCTATCCGGGTCCAGTGTAAAACATCCACCAGTCATTATAAGGTTCTAAAAAGGGTTTTTTGAAGGGGAAACATATTAAAATGTGTATTTGAAACTTGCACAAATGGTTTATGTAAAAAGTGGAGAGTTTTGATTTTGTACCGGAATGATTGCACTGGTTATTTTATACCGGGATTAATTACACTAGTGCTTTAGATCCATACATTGATGAAGTGATTAGTACTCATTTTCAACACACGATAACACAAAAATGCTTATCAACGAATAAGATTTAAATAATTTTTCTATATATGCAAATCTTTAAAATTATATGCTTTTAAATTGTCACTGATTGTAATATTTATATTTATTGGATTGTCGAAGTTTTTCTGTGTATTTGCTTTTCGGTCGACTTCTATAATTGAAACTTTATGCAAGAACAAATCTGCTCTTTAAATTTGGTTTATATCAAGTTCAATGTCCTGATCATTGATAAATTATTTTGAGTTATAAAAACATCCTCCCCATCATCATCAATAATATTTATAATTACTAGATTGACTAAGATTAATTAAACTGGTTCCTTGAAAATCATTTTAATTTTAACCCATTTATTTATGTAAACAATAAACCGGTCTAATACAAACAAAACAAGTATATGTAAGAGAATGATAATCCCTTTCTTCATGAATAAGTACGAGCGTTAGCGAGTACTTATCATGAAGTAAGGGATTATCATTCTCTTACAAACTTAGAATATTGTAAAGTGCTCAAGGCTCAAATGATCTATTCAAGAATTAGTTTCATTGTCAGTGCAATGTTTATAATTGATGCATGACTTCCTTTTTCGGCATGTCATTTATGGATTAGTTTTAGTGATGTGAGGACTTTCTTATCATTTGGGAATTTTTTTTTTTTTTTAAATGCGTTATAGATATTAGGTGACACAACAGTAGAAAGAAAAGGTAGGAATTGTATGCTTCCTGATTGTGAGTATGAATGTAAATCATGTAATATTTTAGTGAGGAATTATCCTTTTTTTATTTACAGTTTAAATCAATTAATACATTTGAGTTACAACCAAATTTTATTTCACAGCCAATAATTTGGTCCGGCTTTTTACATCAAATACTGTTTCATTATGTAAGGGAAATGTTCAAAAATAATGCCCTTAAAAGTTTTTAATATACATGTTCAAAATTAAATTCCTGTTTTTTTTTATCGGAATACATGTATTGGAAATAACTATTCTCCCCAACCGCTGATCAAGTAATCAAAGTTTTGGAAAGCTAAAGATTTAGGTTATTTTTTTATCTGAAAGATTTTTTTCTTTTTTTTTTGCATTGCTTTGGTATTGTTTAATTTTATAGTTATTTGAATTTATTAATATTTTCATAATAAGATTCACGGTACCAATTTTACTGCACCAGTAAACTTCAACTTATTTTGAGTTTTTTGTTTGTTTCACAATTCAACTTTTAGTCAGTTTCAATCACTGTGTGATAAATCCTTTCAATCTGATAAATGTGCTTCGGGGCAGTTGTAACTCATTTATAGAAACTCTTTGTTTTGAACTGTAAATAGGCCCAAATAATAGGATAATCCCTTACTAAGAACATGATTTACATTCATTCTTCACAATTAAGAGGCATCCAATCCTACAATTTCATTGGTCGAGAGTACTTTGCTATATTCTAACGATATTAAGATCGACGCTTCACACTATTTACATCCAATATTCTCTAGTGAAAAACAGTTACCCGGAATAAATACACGGCGGAATGAAAGTACGCTTACATTTCAACATATAGATACCATGACGTTACAAAAAGACAGCACTAACGCATATAAGTACATGTATAATTCCCGTGGTACTTCGATTTCCCTTCACACGTACAGACAGTTTCAATCACAATCTATTCGGTGTAATTAAACAGATATATATATATATCATGTTATGGAGGGGTTTTTGCGAAAAATACCAGTCTTGGGACCAAATTTCCCTCGCCTAGCGGCTTGGGAAATTTCACCGTCCCTTGACTTGTCTTTGTCGCAAATACCCCTCCATAACATGATATATCTGTTCAAAATAGAATATTGTGTTACCGAGTTTCAAGTATTTTTCTGTTCGTATGGAATTTTTTGAAAATTACGGTTTTGAAACACTAAAAAAAATGTAAATGAACATAATCGAATGTTCATTTCAAAGATCGATTTAACTGTGATTACTACGTCAAATGGGCAGGTGATAGCTTTAGTGAAACGATTCCATTATTTTTTATGAGTCATAATGACTGGTGATCAAATCTTATGAATTTGTTGTGGATTTAATTACACCTTATGTAAGAATCCTGGGTTTTGATTGGTTGATAGCCAGTGTATTTTTCACCAATTTACTTTTATCAAATGAATATCGTTCATTTTTATACGCCCGTTTACGGGACGTATTATGGTATACTGTTGTACGTCCGTCTGTCCGTCCGTCTGTCCGTCCGTCGTCAACATGTCGGACATTAACTCAAAAACGCTTTAACCAATTTGCTTAAAACTTTGGTGAATTGTTTATATCTATTGACGTGAGCTCCCTTTCGTTTTTTATAAATTTTAGATTTTACGTTTCCGAGTTATGGGGTTTTATTCATTAAAAAAAGTGGGATTTTCCAGTTTTCGGACAATAACTCAAGAATGCTTTCACCAACTTGCAAGAAATTTTGGTTAATTGTTTATATCTATTGACATGAGCTCCCTTTGGATTTTTATAAATTTTAGATTTTACGTTTCCGAGTTATGGGGTTTTATTCATAAAAAAAAGGGGGATTTTCCAGTTTTCGGACAATAACTCAAAAATGCTTTCAGCAGTTCTCATGAAACTTTGATGAATTGTTGATATCTATTGATGTAAGCTTCCTTTAGAATTTTAT